TTGATATTGCATGAATTGTACAGCACCAATTTAAAAGAAAAAAACCCATGATACTCGGTACGGCTTTTCTCTTGTATTTCATAATTCTTACTTGGATTATAAGCGCATGTTTGCATGCAGTGACGTTTTCTATGTTACACTTTTTCATTTAACGGCAAATGGTAAGTACTTCATGAAATTTACAGACGAAAAAAGATAAATAATTATTTTCCAAAGATTATTCTGCCAAATCATGAAGGCCAGACTTCAAGGCGAAAAAAAAATGATTTGCCCTTTAGAATGTGTTATATACAAATATGCATATTTTTATTTCCGGTCAGATGTTTTCTTTTCACAGGTTCAGTAATATTACCTATTTTACTATGCTAAATTACGTTGACAATTAAAATCTATAATGAAGAAATGTGGATTAAATGTTTGTTAACAACACTGACGAGTAAAAGCTATTGTGTTTCGCATACAATATTTTAAATTAAAATTATACTTACAAGTGGTTGTGCAAATAGAATAACTACCTTTTGAAATAGTTTAAAGATCTACAATGCAATATTGATGTATAAATTTTACAGAAGAACACCACGCAGAGATATTTTATTTACTTAACGTTATGTAATCCATGATTTAATGAAAAAAGTTAAGATGTTACATAACGGGAACGCACAAACACGACATACCTATTGGTGCATAATTTAATTTTGATATTGATTTGCAATTCCTACTGATGACAGAAAAAACACTTATCAGGGATTTAAAACGTTCTTCACCTCTCTGGTAAACTCAATATTTTACTTCTCTTTGCATTCAATAAATACTAGGGTTGTCCTTTGAAAGATTTAACACTTTAGTTTGGTCAAATCACAATGTTTTGCCTTGAAGGACGTTAATAAATGATGACGACATAACAGTTTAATCTATAGAATACTATGTTGGCAAGGAAGTACATGTAATAGGTTTTAAAATAATTTTAAGCATTTAGCTAAAGTCGTCCGAGGATTCAGATACATTGGTAGACACAGACATGATGTTGAATCGCACTATTTTAAAAACTTGATATAGCTGCCAGCGGACTATCAGTACCCGAGAGTATCATTAGCTCAGTAGTCAGTACTTCAGTACTAACATGATTTATAACAAATCTTTTAAACATTATCCGTTTATAAATTTACAAATTGTATGTAAACTAAGTAGTTTTGTGCAATCTTTGTTTCTTAGAAAAAGCCTTTAATAAAATGAAAATTTCTCTTCAAATGTTCACGCATTTAAATTTGTTAATTAGATAACCTGCGTACTAGATGTCATTTGCAGTATCACTCTTTAACAATATAAATATAAACATGTTTCCTCTAAGATTTTGCTCTGTAGCATGTTTGATTTAATTGGATCTGGATTTTTTGGCGGAGGTAATCTTTGTACTTGTGTTGGCTTTCGAACTTTTTTTATCTGGGCGTCACTGGTTAGTCTTGTGTGGACAAAACGCGCGTCTTGCGTATTAAATTTTAAACCTGGTACCTTTTGTTAGCTATTATTCGTATGTTTCTCTGTCCTATATGTTCTTCCATTTATTTGTATTGTAGTCCTGTCATGTAATGTTGTCATTTTAATGTTATATTTAACATTGCCATAAAAGCGGGAGGTTTGGCTAGCCACAAAACCAGGTTCAACCCACAATTTTTTTCTTAAAATGTCCTGTACCAAGTCAGGAAAATGGCCATGGTTATATTATAGTTCTTTTCTGTGTGTGTAACATTTTAATGTTGTGTTTCTGTTGTGTCGTAGTTCTCCTCTTATATTTGATGTGTTTCCCTCAGTTTTAGTTTGTAACCCGGATTTGTTTTTTTTCTCAATCGATTTATGAATTTCGAATAGCGGTATACTACTGTTGCCTTTATTTACCCATAAAATGTATCTTTTATCAAATGTTAAATTTTCATTCCAACTCTGTCAAACTAAATTGGTTGATACATGTGTAATAAGGTATAACGTCCATGGGTAACGACGTAGCATTAATTTTACATTTTTTCCATCAAAGCAAAAAGAGAGAAAATAAAAACAACGTACGGAGTGTAAGAAACAGTTCAGCTTTTCGAACAAAAAAATAACATTAACTAAAGATAAAATTTACAGAAAATGACCGTAAAATAATAATTCAGATCGACACATTTTCTTGAGTGTTAACAACTTGTCAGTTGATACCCTAGTCCAACAGCAGTGACTTCGACCCAGTGGTTTTGAATACTCATCAGGAACCAGGCTTATGATTTTATACACTACACGCTACCTTCATCTACACAAGAGTGGTCAGAACGCTCCAATCAAGAAAAATAGAAGGTAAATCAAATAAACAGTTGAAAAGCATTGCCAAAAGAAATTATAAAAAAATTGGCGCAAAAATACACCCGAGATCATCATAGTATAGGGATTTATACCATTGTTGTAAGAATAATGCATCATTTTATAAGGTACATTTTCAGAAAATTACCGTATAAAAGATTTTGCATGCCAACGCAGGAGTGATGACTTTTTCTAGAAGGTTGTTGATACTCTCGATGGTAACGAATCATTTTCTATCTCGTCATTACAATGTAATTATTAGAATTCGTGCCTCTCTCTGAATGTACGTGACAAATGTACACAAAATCCAAAGGATGTGTACTGTTTTCTAATTTAAATTTGATTGATTGATTGATTGATTGATGGATTATTGATGTTTAACGCCAGTTTCAACTCGTTGGTAATATCTAAGCTGTCAATGTTTATAGCCGGAGGAAGCTGGAGTGTCTGAGAAACACCGACCTTCGGGAGGAACACTGACAATGCTAGTCAATATAGATTGGATTCAAACGCACCAGACACATGCTTGGTTTGAACTCACAACTGCAGTGTTGACAAGCTATAGCTATTGTAAAGTGTGTGGGTCACATTATTAGGTTCATTTATTCTTTTCATTCATAATTAGTAATTTTTAATTGTTTTCTCAGAAAGATTGATTATTATCATTTTATTACTAATTTTTCATTCATTAGATTTTTTATGACGTAACAAATCTCGCATTAGCATTCAAAATATGTTCTCCTTCTCAACCAATCAGAAAGCTCGATCAAAATCCCGAGGGAATTTAGCTCGTGCAGTGATTGTCATCTGGAAATCATTCCCAGGTCATAAGAGGGAACTTTCCACTATGTGCGCGATTTTTTTTAAGTGGTCTCGGTGAGGAATTTCGCGCTATTGTGTTACATTTAGTTTATTGAAGACAATTTGTCTTTGGCATTTTCTAGGCAAGAAGTCCCCCCTCTTATTTGATGTATATTTTGATTGACTAAAACTGGTTAGTTTTGGTCATGCTTTTCATTGAATATTTAAGCAGAAATGTTGAAGATGTACGTATTGAGACGTTGTTTGTTTATTTAGAATTGGTTCGCGGGTTAACTGAGTTAAATTATGAGCTGGGTTTTGAATAGTTTTTTGAACTGAACAAAAGTTGTCAGTTTGCGAATATCGAGATTCGATAAACTGTTCAGCTTGTCAGTTGTTTAGATTAAAGTTATTTATAGATTGCTTGAAAAAGATTAAACTTGGGGGTCGTTATTTGTTGACATTTTCGTAGGTGTCTCAAATCTATGACTTGAACTTAAAGACAGAAATTTAAAGTATAAAAACGTAAAGCGAGTTTTACATGCAAACCTTGGGCATAATGGCAGTGTGAGTCTTTAGATAAAAACATTTACATATGTGGTCCGAAAAATATAGAGCAAGGCTGAATTAGATACCATTGAATTACAAAATCATACATGTACTTGAGACGCAGCTGAATAATTTTGTCTTACAACAATTGTGTGTTGTTTAATAAAAGTTGTATTTCACTGAATTATTGTATTACAGATAAAAGCCTTGTCCCTGGCCTGAGTTAAGTTTTGTGATTAAAATTACTCCTTGTTACTCCCCTTTGTATAGGAAATTACCTAGACATCAACCTATTCCCCTTGAATATTAACTTTCATGGTTTGATAATTGGTACCTGTCTATTCTGTAATTTTTGTATGAAAGTTTGGGTTGCTGAAATGTGTTTTAGTCTTTCCTGTCTACAGACCGTTAATGCGTAAGCATTTTCAGAGACTTATTTTGTTTCAAATTTTCTTCAGTGACTTACCCGCTGTTATTATTTGAATATTTTGTATTCTTGTTATTTCACTGGCCTTGAAATTGAGAAGTAGTTTTCGAAAAGTCGGACTTTACGTTTGTTGTCCCATGCTTGAAACGACCACTATTATCAGGGCGGGCTAGTTACATTTAGTCCGTCGGTCTGTTCCACCTTTATTCATTGTTTAACCCCAAACTTATTTACATGTAGTAACTTTTACTCTGAGACTTACTATAAAGATAGATCGGGATTGTTCTTCATATTTGAGTTAGAAATAAATATACTGAGAGATATTCCATTTGAGATGCAGCTTGAAAATCCCGCACCCGGAGGTGGGCCTCAGCTGGCACATAAAAACGCAATATATATTTTTATGTAAAAAAATGTCAACATCTAGCTGCATTTTAAAATCGTCATGAATAATCAAATGAAACACATAATTCTCTTCCTGAGAATGAAAACAGATAATTAAAGATCTTTAAACGATAAAGCACTTTTTTCTCCAATAAATCTACGTTATTGTAGATGGTTAAGTTACTAAAGGAACGCCACATCATTTAAGTTTGTTGTATGCAACTGTTTTTCAATGCCACGGCCGAAGTTTTCTTTTTTTGGCTTTGAAAATAAAACTGTTAGAAGCCAATTGACTATAAAATATTTTTTGACCTGATATGTATCCGTGCAATATAACGAATACCCATGAGTAATCGAGTGGATTTGAATCTGTTTTATGCAAATAGTAACATTTGAAGCACAAACAGAATTTTTAAACCGTTGCTGAATATTTTTGCTTGCTTTACGTAGTCATCATTTTCTTTACCATGTTTACTACAAACGGTTGTATACTATATTGATAGGTTCCTACCCGTCTTCTGGTGAAATTGCAAATGTAAAGGCATGTGTAGGAAATTATAATGGAGGATGTTGTACTAGTTCTTATGACATCCAGGTTAAAAACTGTGACGATTTTTACATATACAACTTGAAACCTACTAGTGGATGCTACCACGCATACTGTTTCGGTGAGATAATGTTATTTTAGTTCTTTTAATCTAACTATTGTTCAAATAGTGTTTTAATAAAATTCTTTTCAGTAAATTTTGAACACCGAACAACAATAAAAAAGAAAATAAATATTAAAGCAATACACGTGGAAGACTTTGAAATAATTTAAGTCGACACCTGTTTAATAACGATGGTATCACCTCGGTAATCAATTTGAAATATACCATAGCAGTTATGAATCCTTAGAGGAAGGTATGAATTAACAACGAGTGCATCGACAGAGTAAGCGGTGTCTGCTTTGCATTAACTCAATATAAAAGGTCACGACGGGGAATTTGAGACAGCTGATTCATTTTCATGAGTAACGGGTAAATGTGAAAACACGATGTATTGCTAAAACTCATACTGACACAGCAATGCTATTTGAATCAATAGATTGATAATCAATCAGTAGCTAGCTCAGCATACATTTATCGTTATTCCTTGCACGATTTAATTCAGGAAACTCCTTCAACTACCATCCACATATACAACATGTACAATGTTGTTTGAATTTATTACAAAATTTGATAGTTCTACTGAAATCTATATTTATTTGTAACTTGTACAACGACTAGATAATGCTATTATTCATTTTCTTAGGTACTGAGGTGAAATGTCCAGTGGGAGAAACTTCGGATAATGGAGGGTTTACACCAGGATGTGAATGTACGTATAAAGTTTCTATGTGCTCCAATAAGTTCAATTTCCCTCTCTTTCATAAATATAACGAATAATGTGTATACGTGTACACATTAAAGTAATTTTTGTACAATCCAAATACTTTGAAAAAAATCAATAATACCAAGCTTATAAGTGTGCAAGCCAGACGCGTTTCGTCTACAAAAACCTTACTAGTGACGCTCGAATAAAAAAAGAAAAAAGGCCAATAACATACGAAGTTGAAATTCATTATGATCCCAAATTCCAAAAGGTTTTGTCAAATACATATAAAGTTATCAAGGTCTACCTAAGAAAAAGACTGAATATTAACAAAACAATAGCGATTAGAGTGTAATACTATACTTTAACCTTCTTCAGTCTGTGAGTTGTTCAATTGTCCGTCCGTCCGTTTGTCTGTCTCGTATTATCGAGTATAGTTAAAGTAGTTGACCATGAATTTTTGGTATCGCTAACTTGAAATTCAGTAAAAAGTAAAATTACAAAAATACCCTTATCAAATGGCATAATCAAAAGCTCAAACACACCAAACGAACGGAAAACAATTGTGATATTCCTGACTTAGTAAATGCAATGTTTATTATTGATAATAAAGAGCTGGTAAATCCGAAAAGTACAAACATTTTATCCGAAGTCTGACAAGGAATCAGAGCTTTGCATGATTGGGATATATTCCTTAATGGAAAAAAACAGCATATGTGGAAATGTACCATATTAAATGCTTAGTTTTAGGTTTCTTACATTGACGTTTTAGTCACTGGAAACTTGGTATATACATGTATTTTCATTTTGATTGGAACTTTAAAAACATATGTCAAATTACATTGTCAAACAAGATTTCGTGATTCATTGAATATGCTTATGTGTTAGTGAGGTAGTCATTGTGGCATATCGAAAAATAATGTTGCTTGAAATTTATCTTGTCTGACTTTACAAACTATCACAATGAGCTATGCGACAGCAATGCATTATAAAAGGATAATAGATTTGGTCAATGAAGGTAAAATTATAGAAAATTGAAATTAAACAATTTTTGTGCAACTTTAATAACAAAGAACAATTATATTCACATAATAATTCAGAATTAGAAAAGTTGAATAAAAAAGTTATATATTATTGTTTCAGTCGACCCATGTCATAACAGTAACTACGGGATACTCGTAGGGGAAATGAAACGGTCATCGAACTATACACTACAGACGAGTGACGTAGCGATAGAGGACAGTCGATTAACAACAGGATGGTACAGAATTGATAGTGTGACGGGAAATGACATAGTCAATGAAAGCGTTGGTATGATGCAGTGTGGAACTTTATATCCGCTTTGGATGGAAGGTGAATATTTTTGATACAATACTTGCGTCTGCCGACCGTTGTGTATACTTTTTTTAGCTATATAAATTATTTTCGACGTAGTTATATATTACGAAGAGAGAGTTTAAAATACATCTTAATTATTATTTTCATGTGAAGTTATGAAAATTTTAAAATCTTTATGACAAACTGGTATCTTATAACTATTCAGATTTAAGCTGGATCAACTTTGAAGCTCTTATATTTTAGGAACCCTACCAGATGTTTCTGACAAAACCGTTGACAGAAAAGTATGTCAATCAGGATTACACAGCAAATGTGATCAGAAGTATGATATTAAAGTTAGAAATTGTGGTAACTACAGGACCTATTATTTGACACAGTTGAATGTTGATAAATCGGCCTACTGCTTTGGTAAGATTGGTTTTTGTATACATGTATGGACTTTTTTTAATTTCTAATTTTCAATATCTAATTCAGCAGAAATCAATCGTCATGTTAGTTTATACAATGTTCAGGTTCAGAATACTAGTCAGTATATTTCAAACACACTAACGGGTACATACACATGCTAAAATATGTTGTGGAAGGATTTCCAACAATTGTAAATTTCTTATTCTTGTTTCAAAATTCAATCAGCAAATCAAAGCTTTATTGCATATAGTAGTTGTTTATGTAGTCTTTTGATTTTATGAGAGGTTTTACCTGCTAAGTTATTGTTCAATCACATCTCTAAGATGGTAATAAGTTTGGTCAAACATTAAAATCTGTTTTAACAAGTGTTCTTTTAGCCGTATTCTTAACATTGACATATAAAAGGGAGATTTAGCAAGCAATAAATCGAGTTCAACCCACCATATTCTTTCTTGAAATGACATGTATCAAGTCAGAAATATGGCAGTTATTATCTACAGTCCGTTTCTTTGTATGTTGACGTTTGTTTTTGTTGAAGTTCAATGTTCACGTATCAAGTAATTATCACTTTTATGATGTTACCTGGTATGACAAATTGTATTTTCTACCACGCATGTTACTACATTTTACTTCCAAAAATGTGTCGATGTTTCAGGCATTTGAAATAAAACGTTTGTTGAATTCTCCATTAAAAATAGTTGATGCGTTTAATATCATTTTTGATATTACACATTATTAATTAGAAATGTTACGGGAGAACATTACAATATTCCTTACAATGGAGTGCGGGTTAGAACAATTACTTTTGTTAATCCAGTTAAGATATAATGCAAAGCAAATAATCAGAAGAAATACATTATTATTAGTAATTTGTTATTGTCCAGTTTATTACGCCCAGAGGGCCGTCGACAGAGTTTCATATAAAAGGAGGACATGATGGGTGTAATCAAATTATTTTGTTATTCATCTGATATTTAAGGTACATTCCCTGATCCTGATCCTACAACCACCACACGAAGACCACCACCAGGAGACCACAATTCATCAAAAGGTATCGACATTTTATCATTGTTATTTTATATATCTTCGTGCCATTCAAATGAATTGTCTTGAATATGCTCTTAGAATGTAAAGTATTGATTTTTGGACCTTGATCAAAAAAGGTTTTATTCAAATCAATTCATGTTTGTTTAAGTAATTTAATCATATTTTTGTCAAATTGTCGCAAAATCTAGTCATTATTCTGACAAAGAAATACATTTACAATGCAAAAGACGAATATCGCAGGTTCAATGATGGCAAATTATCGGCATGCGGTCAACATGGATGTCCTTTAAAGCTATTGTGTCTCAGATTGGCAATCACTATACTGTAACCAGCCTGTGTGTGTGTAAAACACACCCACGTTTACTCCATGAAAACCAAGATCTGGTAGACAACCCGTAACATCGCAGCGTGAAAATATGTTTCAGTGTAATAACTGCGCTTGTGATAATCTATCCATTAAAAATCATTTCTCTTAATATTTTTTGTGTTTTCATAAAGCTAATGTTATGTCTTACTAGAGATTTCCAATAAAATGACATACGTACGTAACTCGACGTACGAACCTAAAAGGACTGGTTATTGGCAACCATTGAATTTGACTAAATACGTTGCTCAATTTCAAACAAAGTATTCCAAGACTTTCAAAATCACACACTGGAATATTCGTCCACATAATATAATTTTATAATGACAAAAAATGATAGAAATCTAGCATTTTTATTTATCACGTGGTTTTCTAGATTCCCGCCTTTATTTTCACTGACATAAGATCACGTATAAACACACGTATCCCATACCTATCATACGTACGATTTGAGTTATCTTTCATGGTTTTGAATATGACAGTTATTTTTTAATATTCTTTCCAGGTGAACACCCCTTTATACCTTTTTTCTGTCTTTCTTTATAGTTCTTCTATATAATATTCTTTTTATTATATTTGTTGCGGGGAAAATATTTAGAAGGATATTTTTCTGACAATTTCACAAATATCAAAACACAAGTTTGTCAGAATCTGTCTCTCTATAAAAGGAGAAAATTGAGATAAAACCATCGCTTCCGTTTAATTACTTAACAAAAGTATATTTCATTTATTACTTTATTTTTTTTTTCAAATTAAAATTCTGTATTTCCTAATCACAGGGCCCTTTTGGGCATTATAAAGTTTAACACGATCATTCACACTTTCATACTAATCTTTCTCACTCCGCTCGCTCTGATTATGTTAATCAGATACAGTACATTAGAACATACATATTATAAAATGTATTTATAAAAAAATCTCTATATACACAGTTTTTTTTTAGAACTAAGGTGTGTTCGATTAGGGATTGTTCTGTACTAATTTGTTAAACGGGAATGTTATCTCGGAGTCAAAATACATAAGACATTTCCAGACAATTTTTTTATGTATCTCTTAAAGTAAATTTACTTATAGTATTTTATTCATTTCATTGTTAAACAATTAAAAGGGGTTCATTGTACTGAATAAATCATTAACATGGACAACATAATAAAATAAGATATCGTTGCCAGACGTTGATCCAGGATTGTGATAAGGGGGGGGGGGTATAGGAGACGTTAAAAGTGGAACAAACAATTGAAGTATTAAAAGGATGTAAGACCATATATTTAAGGTTCGTTGCTTATGTATTTTACATATCCATATTCAGGACGAGAAGATGAATATTTACCAGACTTTGTACTATACCGCAGGAAGACATGTCATCCTACCCGGACAAATAAATTTGACCCCGGACCGACCAATCAGTGCTCTTAATCATAAATATTGCATGCTTGGCAGATAGGCAGCCAATCTTCGATTTGAAACGGGCGAGGATCGCGCCAAAGACTTCCAGCGCTCGAGCAGTGGTATAGCTTTGATTGACACAATGAGGCAACCGTCTCACCAAATGTTTTAGCATAAAACAAGAGAGATACAGAGAATTGTATACCATATAGATCATAGTAAAAGTATACTGAGTGACCACTGTTCAAAACGTTGACTGCTTTATTCTTTACTCAATCATTCATCATTATTAACGTCTTGAAAAATTTCTTTCATAAAATGAACAAGGTAGATGCAAATATATTTTTTTAAGTAAAAGACAAAGCTTACTTCGCAAAAAACTGATTCAAACAAGAGGTCATAACTATGAAACTGATATGACGCTTGATTTTTTTATAAACGAACTTGTTACTTTTGGTGGACAAAGTTTTCAACAGACACTTAGCATTCCTACATTTTATGTAGTAATCTTCTACCTTGGGATATATTAGCAAGACTTCATAGTTTACCCCGTTATTATCATCCATACATTTTGACAAGATATAAACGTATAAAGTTAAAAGACAAGGTGTATCTTAAACTTAATATCCCTAAATCTGTACAAAAGCATTATAGAGGAGCCCATACATATAATTCTGTCAATTATTTTTGTTTTTATCAGGACCTGAATGCTGAAAATTAAATCTTTAATCAGCAGTTTTATTGAAATATACTTATTAAATGCGCACTAGGAATTTTATTTTAGGATGAAGTTGCAGATATCTGGATTTTTCATAGACAGGATCATTTTGCCAGTGTGTGACCAATAAAGAGTATGATCACCTACACCTTTTTTCCGATTCGTATTTACAATTAACCGTCCACTCCCTATTGGCATTGACGTCTTTTAACCAAGCGAGGCTTTGACTGCCAAGATTCAGAAATAAGATTCAAGTTACGCTACTATCGATTGATTAATAATTGATTGCTTAACGTCCAGTGGCAAATATTTCATGCATAATAAAACGTGCAGTGAGCTTGGCATTCTCTCAACTAGACGCAAGTGATTAAACGTCCCCCCTTTGCTTTGACCGGACGGGACTGAGTACTTGTACATCCTGCACAATCAAACAAACTCTCCACTTTTGCAACGATTAAACTATACCGAAAGGAACAAGACCAATATAGTGACCATATTTCTATTCCCCCGATCACCTTTGAGGGGTTTAATACTGTCGAGGCGAGCGCGCGACAAAAGAAACAAATATGAATATGGAAGATACATATACATGTACGTGTATTAATTTAAACATTTGCAACAAGAATGTGTGGCCTTTAGATACCGTGCCCCTATACATGATCACATTTCCATGCCATGGTCAGTGCACTAATTAATCCGGTTAAACTCTAATTTGGTACATAAGTTTTAACGTTTTACAATGTTTTATATTTTGAACATAAAACTAAAATTATCATCCTACTTAACAAAACTTCAAGCAAATATTCCGTTCATATCCGTTTTTCATACGTATTTGTATAAGTTAAACGCCATACATTTTAGAAAAACAATTTAAGAGCAATGACGTTAAATTACGTATACTTTTGTATGGGATCTTCTTATAATCCATGCTTCATTATAATTAAAGACAAGCTATAAAAAAAACTGATTCAGTAAAGTGTAATCATATTTTTTCTTGAGGAAGCGTCCTCATAAATTCGATTTGATAAAATTCTACGGAAAGGTGAAAAAGCGCTATCAGAAAAATGCATCAGAGATCTGAATTTTACTTTTGGAAAAAGTATCTTGAAATAAAATATAGAAGTATGCAGAAAAAGAAGCAAGTCGTGCACACCTTTTACTTTCCGGCGTGTTTGAAACTCTTGTTTAATCTTATAACTTTTAAATCAAAAATTAGAATATGATCTCGCTTCAGATTCCATTATTTTTATTTTTTTAAACTTAATTTTGATTTAGAAGCTTTAAGAATTCATCGGTTAGGAGATAAATACATGGGTCAAGTGAAATGACGAAGTAATGATCGGTGCATTTGATTACCGGTTACTGACCTATATATTCCTTTTAAAGGTTGTTGTATAAGAAATCATCTCAAATATAATAAAAAAATATGTAAAAAATTAAAATAGTAGTTTGTGCTAATTTTTAAATAGCATCTATTCCAACCAAGTATTGTATTCAACGAGCCAAAAATTCGTGCAGTGCATGCTCCCCTCCAACGTCCTTCACTGCAATAGGCCGAGATACGGTCAGATAGGTTGGTTATGTCGAGTAATGTCATTTTATTGGAAATCTCTAACAGGCCAAATGTATACCTTTGCGAAGGTTTGATCCTTTATCTCACGATACTTATCGTAGCATTAGGCATTTTACAAAAACTTGGGGATGATAAACTTTTTTCTTTACGTATTGTACAAATAGTTTTTACTTTGATTTAATTTGATTTGGAAATGAATACTGTATCTTTTGGAATGATATTTTTAACATGAATTTCCCTGTGCTTTATTAGATGATGAGAATGACAAAGATGACAAGCCCTACATATGGGTCATTGTTGCTTTGCTTGCAGTACTTTCCACAATATTGCAGGCTATACTTCTTGTAAAGTGAGTGTTAGATAAATATAGAAAAGGCCATATCCCAAAACACATTAATAAACCAGTGTAACATAGATGTAAAAAAAAAAACACACAAATTTTTAAAGTTAACGCTATGAGTCAAACAGATTAAGTAAGTGCGAAGTATGAATTTATATACTAGAATTTTCATCCATCAGTTCGCTATATAATAGTTGTATTAATACTTTAAAGATATTTTAATGTTCTGATAGCTTGTGACGTTAGTTGTTTTCATTCAATAATATACGTATGACATAAAAGTGAAGTTTATGCCATGAAAATGAGCTAACAGCTCTGTGTATAGATGTACAATTTCAAAATTTGTTTTTGAATGTTTACATGAGCAGTCACTGGATTCCCTCCAATGTAATATATATCGGAATGTATTGAACATTTCTTTGTCACAGATTTGTACATTTATATTTCCCTCAGGCAAACAGATTTGTACCTTTATTTTCTCCTCATACAAAGTTTACCTTTGATTGATATAGCTATCATTTTAGGTCAAATTTGGTCATATAGTTCTTCAACTGTTTCATTTCTTATACATCCTTTTTTTTTGAATATTCGGCTTAAAGTGTTCCTGATTAAGGTAAATCAACAAAAGTGCTTCGAATGTATGATCTAATAAAGTGTTGTTTTCATTTTGTAAATACAAAACGTTGTGCCATTTTATACAAACTGATTGTGATTGATATCTATTCTACTTAAATCACATATCGCTTTCGGTCTTGGTCATGTACAACAATGCATTTCTGTTTGTGTCGTTGTGAAATATTGTACTATGTCCACATCAAAGAATAAAATGCAGACATGTTAATATAGAAGTAAATATCAACAAATTCCTGTAACTTAAATTAATATGTATTTTTTCAGATTCAATTAGATGTTAGGCTTTTTATAAATAGTCAGTGTGATATATAAGTTATTATTAAGGAAATTGACCAAATGAAATTTAGAATTAATGCAGAATTTTATTGCCATTAAATATGGATTGACACACATTCATTCCTGGTAGTCAAACAATGAAGTCTGGTATAACTTAAAAAAACAGTTTGTAATTTAGATAAAGTTATTAAAATTTAGTATTAAAGAAATAATTGGGAGAAGCTTCTATTCTCTTCTGTGATGCACTGAAAACGCGATATTTAGTTTTCCTAGTTCTGTTATGTTCCTGCATTTTCATTAGAATTTAAATAAAAGTGTATCGACATACCAAAGTTGAAAAACTCGTAGTTATTTTGACAGAGTTAAAAACCTTAAAGGGTATATTCAGTTTTAGTATTTATATAAAATATCATATACAACAAAACGTTTCAATCCAAGTGGATTGAACCACATTTTTAGTAGCATCTAGCCCAATACACATAGTTCAACGACCGTAAATAGGATGGAACATCTTGACAATATAAACATGTTTTTATTTATGGAAATGCCTGTCACATACAGAAACGGAGAGCGTAACTTTGTCTTTGAATCATGTGCTCTGTATGCACAATTAAACATTCGATAACAGCTGAACAAAATAAAATCCCTGCTTAAATGCACATGTTTGTTAAAGTAAGCAAATATCCTGTTCAATCAAAAAACAAATGGTTCTTTTTTTACTGAAGAAACTAATTAGACGACTTAACCGGGTTTCATTAATGATGACTGTCAAATAGGAGTCAAGCAATATATTCCAATGTAGACTGACATATTATCGCAGGATCATAAAAAGTTACACGAAAAAAGTAAAAATTTCTCTGCATAGAAAGGGAAGTCATTACCATTATCCAGATCAGACAAACAAGTAATATATATGTAGTACTGCTATTTTCACTTTATGGTCATCATTAAAAAGATGTACATGTATAAGCTTATACAGGTTTGAAAGCATGACTGGGTTATTTTAATAAACATTTTGTTAAACTGTTTTGTTTATTTAGTTATCAGATTGTTAAAATATTTGCATATCTGTAATGATAGACATACACAGATGATATATATATCGCTTAAAATGTACAGTTTACATTCATCTTTAAAGATGGACATACAACATGTATTATAAACATTTTACCAGATGTAGAGTCAGTTTATATGGATCTCAACAGATGTACAGTTTATATACATCTTTACACAAGAAAAATGTATATATATCTTTACAAATGTACAGTTTATATGATACTGGTTATGTTCTTCTCATATATTTTATGATGGTATGATACTATACCCCTTACGGGAGGGATTGTACTTGATTTTCATATGATGAAGACATAATCTTTCAATCAGTTTAATTGAGGTCTGGAGCTGGCATGTCAGTAACTGCTAGTAGTCCTTTGTTCATTTATGTATCATTGTCATTTTGCTTAGTTTCTTTTGTTACCTATTCTGACATCGGACTCGTACTTCTTTTTAACTGAGTTTTACTGTGCGTATTGCTATGTGTTTCTTTATTCTACATTGGCTAGAGGTATAGAGGGAGGGTTGAGATCTCACAAAACATGTTAAACCCCGCCGCATTTTTGCGCCTGTCCTAAGTCAGGAGCCTCTGGCCTTTGTTAGTCTTGTATGTTTTTTTAATTTTAGTTCATTTATATGTTTTTGAGTTTGGTGTGACGTCCATTTTCACTGAACTAGTACACAATTTTGTTAAGGGGCAAGCTGAGGACCACCTCCGGGTGCGGGATTTTCTCGCTGCGTTGAAGACCCATTGATGGCCTTCGGCTGTTGTCTGCTCTTTGGTCGGGTTGTTGTCTCTTTGACATATTCCCTATTTCCATTCTCAACTATATAGTTTATATGCATCTTTAAAAATGTACAGTTTATATACATCTTTACACATGTACAGTTTATATACATCTTTACAAATGTACAGTTTATATACATCTTTACAAATATACCGTTTATATACATCTTTACAAATGTACAGTTTATATACATCTTTACAAATGTATTATCCTATTATAAGCTGTGCTCCTGAACTGTCTGCATGCTTTGTATCGATCTGATGAGTTACGCCCTTTTCAAATAATTTTTATAGTTTGTTCTGTTTGTACTGTTACACCACTCCTAGGTTAAGGGAGGGTTTGGCGCCAGTAAACTAGTTTAACCCCGCCACATTCTTTATGTGCCTGTCCCAAGTCAGGAGCCTATAGTTCAGTGGTTGTCGTTGCATGGTTCATGTCGGTCATGTTTATTTTTCGTTAATTGTTTTGTTATAAATAGTGCCGTTAGTTTTCTCAATTGAATTGTTTCATATTTTTCATGTCGGGGCCTTATGTAACCGACTATACGGTATGGATTTTTCTCATTGTTGAAGGTCGTTGCCTATAATTTCTTACATCCACTTTGAACTTTGGTGGATAGTTGTCTCATTGGCAATCATACTACATCTCCTTTTTTTTATATACAGGTGACATACTAATCTCCGGTTGGTTGCAAACACTTACTGTAAAATCAGTGCGTGTCATTTAGTTTACATACCATGAACAACTTAATTTAGCGAAAACGTGACAGATCTCTTTCATACGTATAAATGTTTATTTACCCTTTAAATGACTGGTATTACTATGAACTATATGCGATAATCGAAAGACAATGAAAAAGTTATTGACAATATTCTAATCTGTTGTGTGGTGCGATTAAATACTCTGAGCCATTAGAGGGTTCACATTACCGCTCTACATGTATCATTCCAATCCAAGTATCTGTGTTTAGTAAGTTTATAAGAATCTTATTATTAAACACCCTATATAATGCAATAATGCAATAATGCAGTTCGTTTAACGAAAATTGATTTTTAAATCTATTTCAGTTATTTGGTGAATAATATAAAAATTGAATCAATTTAAAACATTCCCAAAATAGCAAATGATTATCTTGAAAATATTTAAGATCTCCCCCATCCCTGGAAGCTCAACCAAATACTATATGTCCAGGTTCGGCCATGTTTCATGCATACTTAATACTTAATACATTTGTAAAAAATAATAAAAAATCCATAACTAAATGAGCATAACACTGAACCTAGATATAATGCAATATCATTTGAACTGAAGACGAACAGAGGTAAAAAACCTAAATACTTTGTGATGTAATCGTAACCATTGTAACAATCAGTCCAATGAATTTCCGCTCTATTTCCTCCTAATGTAAATAATGATATATCAATTGTAGCCTTTGCAAGAGGTAAATACGAGGATAGATCGACCTAATAGAAGTATATTAATTTCATGGAGGCTAGCATGTCCCTTACTGTATATATGACTGGTATATTGGACGAGCAAAGATCAGTATTGTATTGGTTGGAGAATGATGTATGGCAATACCTTTATCATTTGGAAGAGACTTAAATGTCCCTTATCACTAGCATCTTGGATGATTTTGGAAAGAGACCTGCATGCCCTTGCTAGTGGCATGTTAGTTGAGTAAAAATGGTTTAGATTAGAGACGATAATGGCCGTTAAAACAAGCAAATAAGATGTAAAAAATAGCCTACCTAGAGCAAAAAGGATATGCCAAAATATTATTCTTGGTTAGAGACTGGTATCTCCCCTACTGGCACTCTGAATGATATATTGTTGTTTTAAAAGACTAATATATCCATACCATTAGCAATTCGACATAGAAAATATTTGTTTTGGTAAGGGATTAGAATATCTTTTTGTGATAAAACTGAAATTTTTACAATTATAAAACTGGTATCATTCTTTTAAATTATCTAAATCAGTAATCTAAGATCATGAAGATGAAAAGGTCTTTTCTATATTTATTTTCATCTTGAAGGTCAGTCTTCCCCCTTTTGTAGGATTTCAGTGAAATTTCTAAATGAATATTTAAGAAAAATGTTTCAGTCGGCAAATATTGATTTCTGTTTATCCCAGTATCTTTAGCTCTAGTCGTAAGAGTGTCATGACATTATCTTCCTGTTTAACTAAATAGCATTATGCCATTATGTACCCAATTTCCTTAGCTGTACATAATTGTCAATTGTCATTAAAATGAAATCATGAATTCAAACTTTGTTACTCAGTATCATTTATATATACATAAAATTGAGAATGGAAATGGGGAATGTGTCAAAGAGACAACAACCCGACCATAGAACAGACAACAGCAGAAGGTCACCAACAGGTCTTCAATGCAGCGAGAAATTCCCGCACCCGGAGGCGTCCTTCAGCTGGCCCCTAAACAAATATATATACTAGTTCAGTGATAATGAACGCCATACTAAATTCCAAATTGTACACAAGAAACTAAAATTAAAAATAATACAAGACTGACAAAGGCTAGAGGCTCCTGACTTGGGACAGGCGCAAAAATGCGGCGGGGTTAAACATGTTTATGAGATCTCAACCCTCCCCCTATACCTCTAGCCAATGTAGAAAAGTAAACGCATAACAATACGCACATTAAAATTCAGTTCAAGAGAAGTCCGAGTCTGATGTCAGAAGATGTAACCAAAGAAAATAAACAAAATGACAATAATACATAAATAACAACAGACTACTAGCAGTTAACTGACATGCCAGCTCCAGACTTCAATTAAACTGATTGAAAGATTATGTCTTCATCATATGAATATCAGGCACAATCCTTCCCGTTAGGGGTTTAGTATCATACCATCATAACATATATGAGAAGAACATAACCCGTGTCATGCCAACAACTGGTTTTTAAATAAATGTGTTTAGTGCCGATGCAAAGACCCTATAAGTGAATGTATATATATATATATATATATGTATTTATATCTAAATTCAAACCTGTCAAATGTGGAAAAAATTTCACTACATTGTTTACAAATTGCAGAAAGGATATATTTTAAAAGTTAAAATGTATCAAGTCCAGTCTAACTTATAAAGGGAGCAACCATTTAACTTCAAGGGGAGGGCTGGGGGTGGGGGGTATGGTTTTTTTCAAAATTTAACGCTATAAGGTATGGGGAAAATCTGGATTCAGAATATTTTTTATGTCATCTACTTGACCACAATATTTTTTTTCATCAAAATGGGGATCAGAATATTTTTTTTGGAAAAAACCATATCCCCTCCCCCCTTTTGAAGTTAAATGGTCGTTCCTTGAATAAGCAACGTTGAAGTTTGAGTAAAATTGTATGTTCTAAGGCGCCAACTGTATTCACTTCCTCTACCTGTAGAGGGGGGGAGGGAGACTTTTTATGTTTTATATTTTTGAGGATTGACTTAGGAATTTATTATCATGTAAGGTATTTTATTGAACTTTTCGAGATTTGATCTCTCGTTTCTTTGACTTTTAGGTTCTTGTCTAATAAACTACGGTTTTTTTTTGTAATCATATTGCTAGCAGAGGCATATGATGTGCAAAGTTATAAGAATGATGCAATAGGAAGTACAGCATATTGTCGTCAGGATTACAAATAACGTAAAAATATTTTGACGAATAAACCCTGACACACAAAAAAACAGCTAAAGAAATCATTGTATATTTAAACAAAAGATATTCAAAGATGCTTTGTATGATTTTATTTTTTTTTGAAAAAAAAAAAACATGTAAAATCAATACCTGTTTTAAAGTACTATTACAGTATATACAATGAACATGTATTTAATGTAGAATTAAGTCAGCTGATCAAGTGCAACAAGGAAGTTACAAAAGCGTTCATGCATAATGATTTAAAATGAAGTCGGAATTGCTCTCATAACTGTTTACAAAATGAAAATAAAATTCTGTCTATCGATTTTATGCTTTGGAATACTGACAATTTCGGTAAAAGGTGAGAGCTTATACCTGATATATTTGTAAATGTAGAACAACAATTTTCCTGATCAAGGTAAAACCGGAAAGGCGCTTCTGACGCACAAAATTTAGATGTGGCTCATTTTTCAATATAGTTTATTCACTTAAATAAAAAAAAAGATATATAGAAGGTATTTTTGAATGAGATAGCATCCAAACTTCGTACAAATAATGAACCCACTATTCAGCCCAATTACAGAACTCTAACACAAGGTTCAAAAGTGCATTTACCTTCGATGGAGGTCTTTTATAAAAGAAAGTTTCCTGTGGAAATTTAACTAAAAATCTTTTATTTTCTTAAAGTCTTATTTTCAATACTGAATATTAGATATATCAATATTATAAAAAAGAAAGATATGTACGTGAGCTTATTTGTGAAATTGAACAGGAAAAAGAAGTCGCGAAATCTTTTTTGTCAATGTATGACAAAAATTGAATTCTAAAATGTACAAAGAATATACGAAAATAAACAAAATTCCATAATATTTTGCCAGAAGTATATTTGAAATGTTATTTTTCTGAAACAATAATGAAAACAAACCCCTGATTTGGAAATATGAATTTAAATGCATAGCCTAGGAAATAGCAAGAGGGGTCACGAAATATTAACGGAAAGTTGAAAGGGAAAAAACGACCAAATAGTATCCTACCTTCGATCATATTTGTCGTATTTAAAGCTTTATACAAAAATTTGACTTTTCCATTGTAAACATTATATCAAAGTATATGTATTTTTATGGTTATTGTGAAGAGTGAAATATGAAGAAATCATGGTATTTTTGCTGTCATTCCATGTTCAATGGCTTATGTATTTTTTACCAAAATTATTCCTGAAACTAAAAACACAGAGATTGGCTTTGTTTAATAACTTATTTGATATGGTACTCTGCCTTTGTGCAAGGGTTTCTTACGAGAAAAAAAGATGTTAGGATTATTCTCGAAATTTATATTTCACTATACAAATGATGTTCTTTCACTGAGAAAAGCAAAATTTTGGCTACTCTGTTGATCTTGTTTATACCTACGACAACCGTAATAAGTTTTACGACCAACTTTCCCGTTGCATATATTCTTTTTTTTTCGAGGCACATTCTAGCTGCACTTCCATACGAATAGAAATTGATAATGGAAATGGGGAATGTGTTTAAGAGACAGCAACCCGACTAAAGAGCAGAAAACAGCCCCATTCCATCAATGGGTTTTCAACGCAGCGAGAAAATCCAGCACAGCTTCAGCTGACCTCTAAACAATAACGTATAATTAAGCCTTAGATGCATGATTGTTTTATTAGTTGTTATTGGCATTGAACTAGTTGCCAGTAACTGCAAGTACTCTAAGATCTGTATTTATTGTCTTTTTGTTATGAGGATGCGTAATTACCCTGCCATGTCCTGCCTGCGTTTCTTTTTCCTGCTTTGTATTGATCTGATGAGTTAAGCCCTTTTCAACTGATTTTTATAGTTTGTTCTTATGTTGTACTTTTACACCACTGTCCCAGGTAAGGGGGAGGGTTCGGCGCCAACAAACTAGTTTAACCCCGCCACATTCTGTATGTGCCTGTTTCAAGTCAGGAGCCTGTAATTCATTGGTTGTCATTTGTTGCTGTATATTATATTAGTTTTTCGTCATTGTTTTGTACATAAATCAGGCCGTTAGTTTTCTCGTTTGAGTTGTTTTACATTTGTCATTTCAGACTTTTATAGCTGATTTTGTGGTATGGGTTTTGCTCATTGTTGAATGCCGTACGGTGACGTATAGTTGTAAACCTCTATGTCATTTGGTCTGTGGTGGAGAGTTGTCTCAATGGCAATCATACCACATCTTCTCATTATTATAGTTCACCGAAATGGACGCCACACTAAACTCCGAAACATATAATGAACAAAAATTCAAGAAAAAAAAGAAAAAAATACGAGACTCACAAAGGCCAGAGGTTCCTGACTTGGGACAGGCGCAAAAATGCAGCGGGGTTAAACCTGTTGTGTGAGATCTCAAACTTCTCCCTTTAACTCTATCCAATGTTGAATAAACAAATACACAGCAATACACACAGTAAAACCCAGTTTAAAAGAAGTCTATATCTTCCTATTGATACATTTGTTTGGCCGTGTGTTTCCTCTCAGTATCTCCTACAAAGTATGTTACTACTTAAAAGTAGGCCACTAAAAAGGAACTCCTTTGTTAAGATTGCAGTCCTCTTCGAACACTATATAAAAAACACCATGACTTTTTTGTTCATTCCGGAAAATTTGTGTCAGAGATGATAACATATAGGTTCTGTTTGTGATTTCTTTCTATACAAATATGTGTATTTTTTTTAGTGAATCAAACTCGCTTATATTTGCATTTACAGGTGATCCATGTATGAATTATAAAGTTTTAGATTCATTGGATGAATCCAGACGATCTGCTGCAAAAAGTTCCGGACATTTATGTGATAATACGCTGGAGTCAGGATGGTACAGAATTATCAGCAACGCAGGCGAAAGAATGCCAACAGAATGTATAGTTGGCGGTTTCCGTTGTGGGACAATTTCATCTATATGGATGAATGGTAAAACCTAACGTGAAGATTGTATGGTTAATGTTCAATTATATGTTAGGGCGATGAAAACACTAACAGTCTACTATACGTCTCACTCAGAAGAATTATGAAATACAAATTTCTGTAAACAGTGCCGTTTGTTCAAAATTATTTTTGTTTTATAGATATTTTAAGCTTATATATTTCAGTAAGGTAGATACTCTTCTGAAAAAACAATATTTTAGCACATTTTAATCATTTTTCTCTCACTTTTTTTAAAAATTTAACATGCTATTATGTTTGAACAACTCATGTTTGAAAGACTTTTTTTAAATTTAAGACTTCATAAAAGATTTCAAGCTGCTAACATAATAAAGGGGAGAAAAAAGGCCACCTGCGTCAGATATTTAAATGTGTTATTATAATGTTAAATATATCAAAACATCTATACAATTTGAAAATCATAAATGTTAATGCTCCAGTAATTTATTTTAGATAAAGTATTTATGTACTTTGTATCAATGTCAAACATATACACTAGTTAATAGTTATGATTTAAAGCTATAATTTAATTACTTAATTTGAAACCTGCTTATAAATATTCATGATCGTGAGAAAATAAAAACGCCTTTAAATGTATTATTAATGTTATAGGATCCTACCCGGTAACAAATGAGACAAGATCAGTTACAGCATGTGCCGCGAACTACAATGGAAATTGCTGTGCCTATTCACATCAGATAAAAGTGAAAAATTGCACCAATTATCTTGTCTACAGTTTGGTTCCTGTAACCCCATGCTATCAGGCTTATTGCTTTGGTGAGTTATACATTGGGCAACGAATAAACAACATGAAAAATATTTTACCCGCGTTCTTCTTCATCAGTGGAGATAGATTCCAGTAGATCACAACATGAGTTGATGTCCTAAACAACGTAGACAACAATGACCATAAATATCATAATATCATGCTGTTAATCCTGTACAGCGATATCGGCTAAACCTTATTTTACAAGAAATTTAAGAAAAAACTGTTTTGTAAGAGTTTTTCATTATGATAAACGTCATACCCAATATATTCTAAATGCATCTACAACATTTGCAATGATGCTTGTTTTTAAAATCAAAACTAGCATATCATAATATAATTTAAAAATTCCAAAATGCTATTTAGTTCAATTTCATATGTTCAGGTATTTTAAAAACGAACGAATGCAGGAGTTATACATGTACAAATTGTATATATATTTCAGGGTCAGAGCTTCCCTGTCCGACCGGAGAAACGTCTGATAATGGTTTTAGTCCTGGATGTGAACGTAAGTATTGAGGATCACCCTAGTGTGTTAATTGTATTCTTTATTTGTAAAAACAAAATGTTATGTATTATGCTTTTTTTCTTCCTTCTTCCCTGTTTTTTTTAAAACATTTGGTAATATCTGACAATTGTGTACTAAAAATCTTTAAAAATAAATCGGTATTTGACAATATCTATAATTAGACATTTGGAACGTTTCTGTTTAATCAACAGTTAAATTATGTAGTTTTAAACTTACAATTTCTTGTCTGAAAACTAATCCCAGGTAAAATATGAATGATACCGATTTGTTACGTATTTCTCTCCTACTCGTATATTATTCGCTCATGATAAATTTTGGGCGAATTGTGTAACAGGTTTGAGGATAATTTTTTATTAAAAGAAACGAAAACGGACTGTTCATGTCGTGTCCTTTTATAGCCGACCATACGGTATGGGTTTTTCTCATTGTTGAAGGCCGTACGGTTGCCAATAATTGTTTACATCCACTTCATTTGAACTTTGGTGGATATTTGTCTCATTGGCAATCATACCACATCTCCTTATTTTTATATTGAGTATAGCAGTTGAAACTCTGTAATGTGAATTGTAGTCAACATATTATTATAGCATAACTTATAAACTACAATGCAAATATTTATAAGAAAAATCTAGTTCTCTAAGTTCTAAATCAGTGGCTACTTGATTGATCAAAGTCTGTGACCCCAAAGCAGCGCTACAGCCTCAAAAAGGGACAGCACCTGAGATCACCCCCAGTTTTTTTGGTGGGGTTCGTGTTGCTTAGTCTTTAGTTTTCTATGTTGTGTCATCTGTACTTTTATTTGTCTGTTTGTCTTTTTATTTTTGGCCATGGCGTTGTCAGTTTGTTTTCGATCTATGAGTGTGACTGTCCCTCTGTTATCTTTCGTCCCTCTTTTAAAGTAAAACGCCGAACAAAGTGTTTATTGTGATTGATAATGTGTTGACTGGGATATGGGAATATAATTACAGCTAGACTTCTCCCGCTTCGACTGTAAATCTGTAGCCACAATAGGAGGGTTCGTTTGGTTTGACTGTGTGTGATGTATACAAACGCAGCCCCGTCTGGTCGAAATGGGGACTTTAAATTGACCTCGTGTAAGGAGAATGCCACTCTGACCACTGTTAAGAACCCCTGCAACATTTCTGAGAAGTCCGTAGGTGTCCTGTTGCAAGGCGAACTTTCTACCCCTATCGAACACCGTATCCACTTTTTTCGGGGGGAATGGGTTTGGGGGGGGGGGGGGGGGTTACATATCCCGTGCTACATTCAGTTCGACCTATCTAATAGGTCTGCTATATTGTATTACATATTTATCTGTTCTCGTCCGGAAAATGCATGAAATATTTGCCACTGTAGTTTAACAAAAAACAATCAATCAATCCAAGAATATATACAATTATTATATTTAAATTTACCTGTGTACGTTACTTTATTTAACGCCATTTTGTCCTAGGTTAAAGTTGTCTTTTTGACATTGATACATCTTTTTTATTTATATTGTGTCATAGATCAAACTTATTCGTTCAGTGTATATTTACTTGTTTTTGTGTATTGTCTTTTTGATCGAGCTAAGCCATTTCAATTGATATTTAATTGTGAGTCTTTTTATGTTGTAATGTTATACCACGGTTTCAGATTAGGGTGAAGGTTGGCGCCTGTTAAAACGTATAAACCCGCTGCATTTTTATGCACATGTCCTAAGTCAGGAGCCTGTTGTTCAGTGGTTGTCGTTTGTTGGTGTCGTTCATAAATTTTTCTCGTTTCTCGTTTTTTATATTGATTAGACCGTTGGTTTTCCTGTTTGAATTGTTTTACACTAGTCTTTTTGGTGCCCTTTATGGCTTGCTGTTCGGTGTGAGCCAAGGCTCCGTATTGAAGGCCGTACTTTGATCTATAATTGTTTACTTTTTACACATTGTGACTTGGATGGATAGTTGTCTCATTGGCACTCATACCACATCTACTTATTTATACTTACACGTATTAAGATTACAAGGCTTTTGTATTGCCTTGAAACAATTTTCAGTTCACAGTCTTTTGTAAATTTTATGGTTTTCCTCCTAAAGCACAGTGGATCCTCATTTTGTCCTGGCGTAGGTTTTGGTTTGTTCTCATTTTACGTCTCTTCAAAAGTGGGTGCTTTGGAATTGTCATTATCTGCCTTTGGGCACAAATGGCTAAACTAGAATTTAAAAAAAAATGCTTATATGGTGCTTCAAATGTACAGCGATAACTTATAATTAAGATAGTATATTATGACATTATACAAATATTACTAAAGAAGAAACCGTCTAGGTGTTCTATTGGTACCGTCTTTGCCTCGAGTGCAGATGGTTGAACCCCGATAGGGTAAAAACAAAACCTTTAAAATTGCTGTTTCTCCGCTATCCGCTAAGTACGTGGCAATTTCTAACTACGAAAGGCCTAAATAAATTTTACTATAATTTTGCAATAATTTCACAGGTCAAATAATGGCCCTCATCAAATATACTCTTTCTCGATGATTTACACTCTCCCTAACCCATTACTTTGATATCATTTTTATTTATGGCATGCATTTTGTGTAGTCAAAGTGTAAGGCCAAAAAACATTAAATTTAAGTGTTCAAGTGCATACAAGTATTCTTTAGGCTTGTAGATGTCGGAATAGATTGCCTCAACCAGACTTGACAGTACTTTGTTGAACATTTTAGTTTTCAATGCTCTTTTTATTGATTTGACACATTCCAACTATTTTAATTCGAGATGCACTGTTGAGACTTATGAAGACGAAAAGCGCATTTCTTGTCCTAAATTATAAGCTTAGTATCTTTGGTGAGTCTGTATTATACTTATCTTTTTAATATAATAGAGGATTCTAAATGAATACGACATTGTGTTCACAATTAATCCACATAATTGATAATTATTTTTCAGTGGACCCTTGTCATAGTAGTAATTATGATATACTGAAAGGTGAATTGAAAAGATCCTCCAATTATACGCTGACTGTAAATGACGTTGCTATAGAAGATAGTCGACTCAGAACAGGATGGTATAGAATAGATAGTGTGACCGGAAATGACATTGTCAATTACAGTGTTCCCATGATGCAGTGCGGCACTCTCTATCCTCTCTGGATGAAAGGTTAATGTAATATATATTTTATAGATATGTCCAACTACGCTATTGTTAGATGAACATCCACACTTAAAATTTAGAAAAAAACATATATCTTTGTAGATTGCAATGTGTTAACAGAAGGTAAAGTGTCGTGTTATGTTATTTCTTTTATTGAGCAATTATATATTATTATTTTTTTTTGCGCAGTATGATGTTAAATGTGATATATTGATGCACTAAACGTTTGAAAAATAATTGGAAGTGTCAAAATGAGAACTTTTCAAAATACAGATTCAAAGTACGTACAACACGATTGTTTTTAAAAGAGATTGAAAATGCTATTTTTTAACAATTTCATCAAAATGCGTGGTGCTTAGGTTTTCTGTCTCTTTTTAGCATGTGTGTGTGTTCTTTGTGGCAGAAAACTAATTCTTGATGCTTTCATTTAAATTTACTTCTTTGCTAGATAGTTAAAATCATGGTTCACTGGTCAAAGAAGGATCTATTATGGATGTACTATATCCCTTTCACCGGTTAAGCAGATGTTCTACTTTTAAAGCATAACAGTAAATTGCATATTTAACATTGAATATGTATACCTACGAAATTTGTCAAAAACATTCACCTAACTAAACAAATGGACAAATAGTCTCGTCTGACCAGCCTTGGGAACTGGTAAGACATGATTGCTCACATTAGTTTGGGCCGATACATTGTGCTCAATGTCCTCCTTTAACCGTATGCCATGGTCGTGCTCTTTAGAAAGGAAGCTTATACAGAACATACATAAACCCCTAGTGATTATACTGCTAGGTTATGTTGAAATGTATTCAGAATAGAAAATTAACATTCAATTGAAAACTGATAAACTTTAATTTGATCAAAAGTGAGTTTGACTATCACGAATAAAACTTACATCCCAACTATTTTGTTCTAACAGGGGTGATCTGAGTCGGATCACCCCTACCAGATCACCCTACCTTGAGTTTCTTTGTTCTGCATGCTTTCTTTTGTTCTGTAACATTTTGGCAGGAATGTTGAACACACAATAAAACTAAGAAATATTTATTCGGAATAAAGACTAACCTTCAAAATTTATGTAGAAAAAAACCACGAAATTTCCAGTGTATATGCGGGTAGTCGAACTCAAAACCTTTAGCATATGAAGCCACGATTCATACCCCTACACCAGGACGACTGGATACAAACTCACTGTTAATTAAACATATTTAAACATTGCATCCGGGGCTCATAAAGGGTATATACTATATAGTAATATATAAAGTATATTATAATTAATGTATGGCATTCTGAACTAGATGTTATGAAGCGTAAATGTTTTTTTTATATAGTCTAGAAGAGCTGGGATGTAAAATAGTTATCCCACTCGGACTTGGTGTGTCAGTGTAAAATCACCCTCTGGCCTCCGGCCATCGGGATGATCTTACACTGACATACCGCGTCCTCATGGGATAACTATTACTGACATACTCGTGAAATCAGAGTCAATCGAACTGATCGCATGTAATTTTACTCGAAATGAAAACTAATTTGCGCTCGAAAACAAAAGGACCGATTCACAGGAAAACAAAATGCGATCATAACATGACACTGTACCTATTGTATTTTTTTCATGCTTAGTAATGTGTACAGGTTATAATTAGACGATACCTCGACTGTGACGTCACCGAATGAGACTTATTGCCGAATTTACACATTTGTTTTTTTGTCATTTCGTTGTCTTCCATCTTTTTGTTGTTGTTGTTGCCATGGTGTTGTCAGTCTCTCTTCGACTTATGAATTTTGCTTGTTCTCTTGATATCTTCCGCCTCTTTTTAAAGGGAAGATTATACTCTGTTCATCATTAAAAGGTTGATTTTAAAAGCAAACGGTCGTGCCTTTTTATGTAAAGTATTTTCAATGCAAAAACAATTAACTTTCAATCTGTACATAATTTAGGAAGTATACCAGACGAAAGAGAAAGAGATAAAACTGTAAATAGAAAAGTCTGCAGATCAGGACTGACTGGTACCTGTGTACAAGAATATAATATAAAAGTACGAAACTGTGGCACGTACAGAACATATTATCTGACACAATTAAATGTTGACAAATCAGCATACTGTTTCGGTAAGAGCTTAATGTTCTTTGAATATTGCTTATCTATGGACTCCTGTAAACGAAGTGATACGCATTATCATGGTTATTATCTAATGTAATAGTTTATTGACAAATGAAATTTACATGATTTTTTGCAATCCACTATAAAAAAGAACTGAAAAGACAATTTGTTTGTTGTATAAATCAAATTGATCATTAGATATATTTATTACAAAAGTACTGAGTAAAAATGGTCGAGTATTGTTTTCTAAAACGCCGTGTTAAGCAAAATATTCAAATTACCTATTGAAAATAAAATGGACCATAGAAGTAGAGGAAGAAAAAAAAAGGAACTAGCATAGACCAAAATCTTTCAAATTTACGTCAATTGAAAGTACTTTTAAACACAAAAAGGTGATGCATTGACTATTTAATCCTTTTATCATAACTATGTAAGCTAGGTTAAAAAGAGAAAAAAATAGAAAACGACCAGTAATATATCATTACCAACATTTTATAAAATTTTCAATGCCCAGGAATGTTGCCAGTACCGAAACCAACAACATTAACGACAACGACAACAACAAAACCAACGACAACAACAAAACCAACGACAACAACACCAAGATCAACAACAACTACTACAGTAACATCTACGAAGACATCTACAATGTTGGAAACAGCACGGGTAACCAGAGCAAAACCCATTTCATTCATATCTACGAAAACTTCAGGAGAGATTTCTACTACTTCATCACTGATTAAAAAAACAACATCACATCTTCCTCAAAAAGGTACAGAAAATTACATTTCTTTATTATATTAATACTTAAATTTTGTGTGATATATGATGATTTTTCTTCAATGAATATTTTGTTAAGAATGTACATGTTAGTGTCATTCGTGAATTTATCAAAGGAATAAAACAATTAACAACGTTTTGCATTGAAATAAAGAAGATACATGTTTTATGTAATAAACCACTGGCAGATGGAAGCGATTTTAAGTAAGACACTCAACAGAAGCGATTGTATGTACAGTTTTAAGACACCCGATAGAAACGATTGTCTGTATATTTTTAAGACACCCGAAAGATGCGATTGTATGAAATGTTTAAGACATTCGATAGTAGCGATTGTATACACATTTTTAAGATACTTGATAGAAGCGATTGTATGTACATTTTTAAGACATCCGATAGAAGCGATTGTATATACATTTATAAGACATCCGAAAGTAGCGATTGTATAGTCATCTTTAAAACACCCGATAGTAGCGATTGTATATTCATTTTTAAGACACCCGATAGTAGCGATTGTATATACATTTTTAGGACACTTGATAGAAGCGATTGTATATCTATTTATAAGACATCCGATAGAAACGATTGTATATACATTTTTTACACCCGATAGAAGCAGTTGTATGTACATATTTAAGACACCCGATAGAATTAAGCGATTGCATATACGTTTTTAAGACACCAAATAGAATCGATTGAATTTACATTTTAAGACATCTGATGGAAGCGATTGTATGTACATTTTTAAGACATCCGATAGAAGCGATTGTATATATAATTATAAAACACTCGATAGTAGCGGTTGTATAGTCATTTTTAAGATACCCATTAGTAACGATTGTATAAACATTTTTAAGACACCCGATAGAAGCGACTGTATATCCATTTATAAGATACCCGATAGTAGTGATTGTATACACATTTTTAAGACACCCGATAGAAGCTATTGTGTGTACATTTTTAAGACATCCGATAGAAGCGATTGTATGTACTTTTTTAAGACACCCGATAGAAGCGATTGTATGTACATTTTTAAGACACCCGATAGAAGCGATAGTATGTACATTTTTAAGACATCCGATAGACGCGATTGTATGTACATTTTTAAGACACCCGATATAAGCGATTGTATAGAAATTTATAAGACACCCGTTGTAACGATTGTATTTGCATTTTTAAGACACCCGGTAGAAGCGATTATATGAACATTTTTAAGACACCCGATAGAAGTGATGGTATGAACATTTTAAAACACCCAATAGAAGCGATTGTATGAACATTTTAAGACACCCGATAGATGTTTATATGAACATTTTTAAGACACCCGATAGAAGTGATGGTATAAACATTTTAAGACACCCGATAGAAGTGATGGTATGAACATTTTAAGACATCCGATAGTAGCGATTGTATATACATTTATAAGACACATGATAGTAGCGATTGTATAGTAATTTTAAGACACCCGAAAGAAGCGATAATATGAATATTTTTAAGACACCCGATAAAATTGATGGTATGAACATTTTAAGACACCCGATAGAAGCGATTGTATGAACATTTTAAGACACCCGATAGAAGTGATGGTATGAACATTTTAAGACACCCGATAGAAGTGATGGTATGAACATTTTAAGACACCCAATAGAAGTGATGATATGAACATTTTTAAGACACATGATAGAAGCGATTGTATGTACATTTTTAAGACCACCGATAGAAGCGATTGTTCGTAAGAGATCAGATAGAAGGGATTTTATGTGAGAAACCAGGTACATGTAGAAGCGATTATGAACTGAATTCAATTTCTAATATTGAAACTTTTAAATCAGTGTATTAACGTGATGTTTTCGTACATATGGCTGACAAATGATAACTTCAAAGGCCTGTTGAAGACAATTACAATACCGAAGATATACACAATAATTAATCCTTCATTACACGTCGTGTCTTTGGTGTATGTAGAAATGAAAGCCTGTGATTTTTTGTCTATCCTTTTTTTTTTTGTAATTCGTTTTGTCAATTTCAGATGAAAAAGACGAATCGTTTGACTTCCTTTCAATAGTTGGAGCTCTGGTTGTACTTGTTTTTGTCCTGCTGATTGTTATAATCGCAATTTTTATGTAAGTATGTTTAGTTAATATCTAGATGACTCATGAACTACATCCCGAAAGCAATAGACGATGAGCTACATACCTACATCGATTTTTGTTTTGTCCCACTTAATGAGTGAAAATAACACTTAACAGCATCATTGTACAACTTTGCATGTCCTAGTATGTCGTCCTAAACGACAAACACTTGACTTCCTAGACGAATACAAATACTTATAAAAAGTTCAATCAAAGGTCCGATACAGAGCATGTACATGTATATACATTACAGTATTAATTGAGAAAAATTTTCAAGATGATTTTAACAACTGAGTATAATAAATAAATATTCTCTATGCAAGAAGGTGCATAAATGATTATCTTTATCGAAGTCATTTAGTTCAGTCTGATGAAAACTGAGATCATTGATCATGATCAGCATGTTCAGGAATGTGAGATTCGAGTATTATAAGGAGCAACAAAGGGATGATTTTTAGTACGTTGGATTGATGCCAGACATATGTTACATATATTATATATGTTAAAATTTGATCAAAATTAGTTTCCTTTTTGTGTTTGCTTACATCATGTTCATTGTTTGTAAATTTACCAGAAAAGGTGATGGAAGTAATAGAAAAGTCTTATGTAATATTATTGATAATGTATCGATACCTTTATGTATGAGAAAAATGTTGTCCTGTTCGAATTATCACGCGTGGATTCGTTTACTGCTGTGTATAATTGATTTCGTATTCCTAACAAATCCTACATACAAGCTTATTAGAAATTTCTATTTCAATGAACACCTGTTTTCTTGGAAAATCCACAGTAATGAAATCCACGATAATTATTACCCCCGGATAATAAATAATTCACAGTAAAGAAATCCACGATAATTAGTACCCCTGGAAAATAAATAATCCACAGTAATGAAATCCACGATAATTAGTACCCCCAGATAATAAATAATCCACAGTAATGAAATCCACGATAATTAGTACCCCTGGATCATAAATAATCCACAGTATGATAGGAATATGGTAAGGAATAACGAATATACACCTCACTTTTATTAGATAAACATAACATCTAATTTGCTACTTACTTCTTTTTTGAAAATTTTCAAAAAACATTAATAAACCAACTTTTTAAGTATCAATTATTTATTTCAGATTGTTTAGACTGAAACCTCGCTGTCTGAAAGATATAATGAGATCATCACCACCAACTTATGAAGATACGGTGAAGACTGACAAAATGACTAATCTATATACACAACTGGAAGATACCAATCATTACTCTTGTATAAAGGACAATAATTACAACGAAGGCTACGAGGAGATTCCATATGACAAAAACCAGACTGTGCCGGAAAATAAACTATACTTTCAAAATATTGCTACAATGGCAATTTCAACTCAGATCGTACAGGAAAATAGGCTATATCTTCAAAATCCTATTACAGTGCCACTAGACAGTCCCGAAAAATCGAAGATTTGACAATGAATGTTATATGCAGTATAACATGTATGATTTTCTGTTTACATAGAATTTCTGAACTTGACGAAAGGGTAATACTAACATTACATTATCATGATTATATTGTTAAGGAAATGCAAATGACAGCAGACATTATTATTTTACACATATTTTGTATTATATTCATTCCTTCTTGCAAACTAATATGTGATATTAATAAATTATATGTAACAGAAGAGGGACTCACACATGTAGCATTTATAATATGTTTCTTGATATCTGTATCATACATTATTATGTGTGTTATTGTATGAATCAGCGTTGAAGATGAAATACATTGCATTCTTAAACGCACTGTAAAACAAAATACAAATTGAAGAAACTCACAAGTATCCAGTTTCGAGCAGGTTTATTATGTTGTGTTATTTTGGTAAATTTATACGTAGAGCTTTCAAATTTGTAGCGTGTTAGCAACTATATATTTGGTGGTTTCATAGCCGTTCTTTACTTTTCGACAACCATGCTTATGATATCCCTTTGACATTGATACTTTAGAAATATTGGGTTAGATGATATGTAATATATGCTATATGATAATATTTTGTTTCACGTGTTTTCTTAAGCTGGTTCTGTGTCTTTTGTGTTATTTTCAGGCAAATGCTTATTGACAATGTCTAATTTTCCCTGAAAATACTTAAAAAGACACAGAACCAGCTTAAGAAAACACGTGAGGGTTACTGGGGATTACAAATATGGTCATTTTTGGTCTTCTTCCTAGCGGCAGTAAAATATTTGTCACAGATGAGCGTCGGTTTGGCTGTGCGGGATGTATAAAAACGCAGCCACGTCCGATCAGTACGGGGACGTGTAAATCCAATGCCTCCTGTATAGAGAGTTCCATAATGTAAATAACAAATAATTTGTAAGAGTTTTCACTCATTCTGTTTACTCTGAAAAAAGACGAATCTAGCGTTCATGTTCATGCACGAAAAGGATGAAAATAGTGCTAGGATGTTGATTACTTATAACTTATAACTTATTAAAAGACCACTGATATTTTATCAGAGTTTCAATGTAAACAACTTTGGAGGATAGTATAGCATTCATAGAAAAATTATTCAAAATTTGTTATGAACTTCTATATTAGGTATTATCATTGTTAATATTCATTTCTTTCAATGTCTTAACCTAACACAAAACTTATACATGATGTGCATTTACAAGCTAGTTATGAGTGTTCATATATTCTGCATTAACATCGTTCCATTTCACTGTATAGTCAAATGAAATATCTTAAATAAACTGTATTACTGTAAGTTGTTATTAGTCATTTAGTTCTCTGAGAGTACATGTACTCTCATATATAGACATGAATTCTATGAAAGTACATGATCTGACATATATTGGCATTAGTTCTATGAGAGTATACATGATCTGACATTGTATCTCATAGATTGACAGGCAAATAAACGTTGCCAAAATCATGCCACCAACACTATCTACAAGGGTTGATTATAATATACGAAGATTGATAAAATGATAACAGTCTGTACATCTTGGAATATGATTCTTTGTTTTTGTTTTTCAAATTGTTAGAATTCATCAAATTAAACGGCTAATGCAATATCACTTTTCCATTAGCGATTTTCAGTCCATATCTCTGAATTTTCCAAATACAATTGAGTATGAAAATGGTTCAGAACGTTACAATATACAAAATAACAATATAGAATAATATTAGAAATATGTTACTAGCATGGACAGTGTTATTTTGAAACGTAATTTAACAGAACATATTACAATTTGCAGTTAATGATTAAGGATGTTCGCTACTCTTGCTTTTGACTCTTTGTCAGATATTCGGAATCATCTAGTTTTGTCTATGTAGTGCCAACAAAAAATTTGCCCGCTAATCCCCTGCTGTTCTTTTCATAATTTTACAAAGCCATTTTTGAAAATCTTATAAAATCCTTGTTATTTTTTCATACGTTTTAAGAAAAAGGGTGCCAATGTAAAATGTATGGAAAGTCTAGAGAGAATCATTTCCCGCCAATTTTTCAGTTGATCATATCTCAAAAATAAGGACACGGACCTGTCTTTTTCTACTTTTTAAGTTCCGTCATTTCTTAACTATCAATTTATCACATTCTTTTAAAAAGCTTGTTTTTTTTAACAGAGGAGCAAAAATCCTTAAAAATGAAACAAGTGGTTGGTAAATGCAGTTACATAGCATTCATACATTACATTACATAACATAACATAACTTAGCATAACATAGCATAGCATACATTTATTACATAACATAAGATAACTTTGTTATCAGCAATTATCTAAGTTTGTTTTTTATAATTCATTATTCAAAGTGTTTTGGACTTGTGTACTTTTAGCATCAGGAAATCAGAAAATGCAAATTATATCCATGATTTAAATTCTGATTGATCTAACAGTTTGCTTTATCAATACTACTTCAAACAAGTATAATTTAACGTTTACATTACCATTAATTGTCAGACATGGTGTGTCAACTTGTACTTTTATAAGCAGATGACTAGTTGTTGTGGAATTCTAAATGAATGAAAAAAGATGCGGGGTATATGTCAAAGAGACAGAGTACTGGAAAACGGATGCATTCTGCAGGACATTAAAACCTTTACATATAATGAATATATTTATATTAACGAAAATATCTTTTACGATTGGTTGTTGTGTTTAGAGTTCAGTGGCAAATAGTTCATGCTTAAATAGGCTCTGTAAAGTGTCGACGGGGTGACGAGATGAAATGTTTGACTGCCGCTGTATGTTGGACACTGATATAATCGATTCGTTTCGACTAGAATTGACTGTGTTTTACTATATCCCACACAGCCGAACTAACGCCCCTTATGGTGTAATAGGAGTTTTACTTGCATAAAGTCTACGGTTAGAGAAGTATATTTCTTTTCCCAGACGTGGACATTTTTCACATACATTAGTTAAAATTTTTATAGTAAAGGCAGATATATATATATATATTTTCTGATTTTTGATATGCTGTTTCTTTCTTTCCTGGTAAAATTTCACCCCTAAACTTCCTTATAAAATAATGATATTGTGAATTTGTTTTTAAATACGAATTATAAAAGATACGCAAATTTTATCTTTAAACAAATGGGTATACATTATCATTATCAGGGGAAAAATCAAGACTGCACTTTCTGTTACATATATTATTTTATGGAATTTTGAAACTTTTACTCGTGCAAAATACAATTTCCAAAATCACACGTAGACATTATAAATGCAGTGATTACTTTTTTTTTTATGTTAGTTACGTCATTCTGACCTACTTCGCTTTTTCATCTTGTAAAATTATTTAGAGTGAAAAGAATTTGGCAGTACTGACACTATTAACACCTGACTTTAACTAAGGATACAAAGGATAAATAAAATGTATCTTGTAATCGACCTTTCTTCTGTACAAATACAGGTCGACTGTCACAGATAACTCGAAGCGATAAACATACCCTATAAGGCTTGTACCTTACTTCTGTTGCGAGCGAACTGTTATGTTCAAGAAAAAGAGAGGCGAAAGATACTTAAGGGATATTCAAACTCATAAATCGATAATAAACTGACAAAACAAAAAAAAAAAGAAAAAGATCAAAAGATACACAGCATTATTCAAAACACAAAATAGTAACAATTCAATTTGGGGTCCTCATCGCGGTCTCGTTTATTAATTCAGAAACAAATTCAACGATTTAGATGGGAAACAAAATATACGTTGAGTTCAATGTTAAATTGCAGGATAAAATCAGTATTCGTACAGTGTCCGAAAATATAAAATTTATTTGTACTTGCTACGATACTGAAGTAAAAGGTCAGCGAGCCCCGATTTTATCTCTGTTTCTAAAGGTCGTCAAATAAATTTTATATTTTCCTACACTGTACGAATATTGTATGTTTAGGATAGGGTTTTTAAGGTGGAAAATGAATTACATGTATATCAAATTATGGAACTTTTTTGACAATACCTACGCTAAAAACAATTCTAAAAATGCGCACTTCTACTTGCCGGATATTCATCAGTTTGCGATATGTCGATTAGACATGTACACCAGTTGCATTCACCTTTTTTCGATATAAAAATGCATTTCCATTTATTTGCATGAAATAAACCCACTAAAACATTAATGGTAAAAATGTATCCCAGTTCTCAGATCTTCGAATATTTTTCTAAATCAGTGCGAATGTCATTACAAACACTTAGTCTATTCAGGAACGATTGATTCTTTTTTCTAGGAAAAGTTACTATTTTTATATAAAACTCGTTAGACACGCAACATGAACGAGAATTAAATATTCCAGAACCATTGATTGTTAAATGTAAAATTCTTAGTTGCTTAATAGGTTAAAAGTAACGTACAAAATGTAATTGTAGTTATTTCTAGTTATTTCTAGTATACTACATCAGTACAAGATACCATACCAGGCATTTTAAATATGGAATGTTTATTTGGTATATTGTTTCTGATTTCGTCTTCTGGTAAGATTTCTATTTTATTATAACAAAAAATGCAAGTTGTGTGAAAGGTAAAGCGGCGCAAAGCAGACCTTTTTCTCGAAAATTATTTTTACGAAAATCATGTGATTCAAACAATAAGTGATATTTGATGCGCGGATTTTTAACTGTATTGTCATGCAATTATTTTTCTGCGAGGTTTTGAAAAGATTGCTTATATTTTATTGATCGTGGAAAGTGAGAAAAAAATGTACATTGTAATACCTTAACACATATTTAGGCACGAGGAATATCAAATGTATATAAGAACCAGGTAAGTTCTTACTATATCGGTATTGCTTTCTTAGACAAGCATTGTAGTGATATATTTATAGATGGCTCTTGTATTTGCCTTACGCAGGTCAGAAACCACCTTTAAAATGGACAAAAATCTACGTATTTTCTCTAAAACGCTTTTAACTGGCTTTCTAGGAATTGTATTTTTTTATTGGTTCTCGGAATGAACTCTAAGTGCTATGATTTTATTTTGTATTATCTCAACTTAATAAAAAAAAAATTGTGAATGAAAATCTAAAAAAAAAAATCAATTTCAACGAAATAAATTAACCAAATAAACTGTTAACACAGAGATATGTCTCGCCTTTTTGTACTTTTGATAAAAAAAATGCAAATGTTGAAATTAAAATAGCAATACTTTAACATGTAGGTTATGCAAATATTCAAAGTCAATGAACCATGACTGAAAGTACATGGCAAAACAATCTCCATGGAAATCAGATGTGCCAATGCTTATACAACTGCATACCAAATACCATAGACTTATCATAAGTCGTTCCCTTTCAACATACCTAAACACAAACATTGACTTGTAAACTATGTAAAAGTTCCAAAGTCAATGAACCATGATATGGGGTGCGGCTATATAATCTCCATGGAAACAAGGCTTGCAAATGCCAATAAATTTGCATACCAATTATCATTGATTTAACATTAGCAGTTCATCTTAAACTGATCAAATCACAAACTAATACATGTAAACTAAGCAAAAGTTTCAAAGTCAATAGACCATGACTGAGGGGGCGGCACCAAATATTCTCCATGGAAATGAGATGTGCTAATGCTTATACAATTGCATACCAATTAATATTGGCCTACCACTAATGGTTCCCCTTGAACTGACCTAATCACAAACTTCCAACCACCACTATATTTCATCAGAAGGTGTATTGGGGGTGGGGGACTATTGCCAAACAAACTGTCTAGTCAGACGATGCGGTGATGACTTATTTTGCCAAAATCATCGCATTTTAACCAAAACTTATGCTAATTTACATGATACATGTAATTGACCTTTTGACGACAATATCGACATCAAAACAACAGTAAATTAAAGCAGCATCAATCTTAAAAAGCTTGAGAACCTTATGATATTTTATCCCAACGTTTGCATAAAGTTTGGTTTAGGTTCAATTATATTTTAGGGACTAATTTAGGCTTTACAGGTTTACTCTTTGAATCAAAATTGTAAATTTAGTTACAGTGGCGGAGATATTTGTGACAACTGACAAAGCTACCAACAACATACTTCTGGCAGATATCGGAGCATTTCAAAATGAGGATAAATATCTTATATTTAGTGTAAAAGGTTGTCGGGACGCCATGTTTATACTGTCCTCCCACACAAAAGTAGCACCTCCATATTATCATATTATCATTGGTGGATATGGAAACACACGGTCTACCCAAGCCAGACGGATAAATGCATACATACCTTTGAAGGAATACTTTTCTTCTGAAATGGATTGTTATATTTACAAGCCATTTTGGATAAGTTGGGAACGTGGTATTATTGAAGTAGGGAGAGGAAATGTAATTGGTGATAACGTTTTCCTGTCTGCAGTTGACCACTGTCCTTTCGCTATAAAGAACATTGAAATAAGCACTGGTAAAGATGGCGCAACAGTGGATTGGACTATTGTTCCTAACAGTACTAGTAAGTAATTGTTTATTTCAACACCATAGAACTATCATGCGGGTCTTGAAAAGGGGTAGGGGTCTTCATTTCCGTATCCTTTAATTTTGGGCCGTTTTTTCTCTATTCAATATTTATTCTGCCCATTTTTCTCTATTATTTATATTTTAGCAGCTCATTATATTATATTCTTTATTTTTTGGCCTATTTTTCTTTAGTCTTATATTTTGTTTGTCTAGATTTCTGCGGTCCTGGCCCAATATTCCCTATTCGGAAAACCCAATCCAGACCCTCTATCACGTCAATTCCAACTGGTGTTCCACTCATTGTCCAATGTCTAATTCATTCTGCAGTTAAGGTTGACTAGTGTTAATATGAGTGTACTAGCTTGATGTTTTTTTACATTTTGTCATTTCGAGGCCTTTTATAGCGGATTAAATACGTCATCCCGTTTCCGGGACCAGATGAGATGTTCGTGCGCATGTGTAGCTTCAGTTCGTAGCTTTATTTCATAGAAGGCAGACGTGGTCTGTATTTGTAGCTTCTATAATGAAATATTTTATTACTATAACTACGAGGTAGTTATTATTTATTGTTTAATCGAGTAAATAAACTCGAGAGGTTTATTGTTTATTTTAATTTTATTTATTTTTCTCTGTTGTAAATTTATGGTAATTAGACCGATTTACGGCAGTTGATATTTTTTAGTTACAATGGCGGACGCCATGCTCTCTAAAACTGATGCAAAATCTTTGAAGAAAGGTTCTAGTGCTTCAAATGAGGCAAAAGGAAAACACTCTAAAAGAAAAGCATCCGGTGATGATTCTCGTTCCAAGAATGACGATACAAGTAGTAGTAATGGGGCGAAGATTGTCAGCTCTGGCGAGGCCGGAACTGTTACTTCACGACAAAAAAAGGTTTTAGTCAAAATACTAGCGAAGCTAGCAAAGAGCCCACTTTAGCTGATGTTTTTTTCAGTCCTGAAAAATATACAGCAAGAACAGAGTTCAGAAAAAACTGATTTCGTGTCTCTCAAGCCTATGGTAGACGAGTTGTATTTTGCTGAGCCTGAGGGTTACGATGAGAGCCAGGGTGCAGACCCTGAAGGAGCTTATGATGAAAATAATAATCATGAAATAATGATCATGTTGTAGATGCTGAGGTTGCAGAACCTCCAGCTAAAAAACAAAAAAAAAACTGTTGACAAAGAGGGTGACAATGTTTTTAAAGCTGCTGCACAAGCTTACAGGTCTAAAGATAATGTAGATACAAGTGTAGATGACACATATAATTAGCTGATACTGTTAATGAATTTTCCCGTGAGGGAACTTCTGATGAAAAATACAATGAACTGATGAAATCAGTGGCTAGACCAGAGAATTGTGTTTCTCTTACAAGAACTAGAGTTAATCAGCTTATTTGGGATTTACTCTCTCCTCAAACTAGATCCTTTGACTCAGTTATACGACAGCATGAAGAAACTGTTGTAAAAGCATCTTGTAACATTACAAAATTGTTAAACATGTTGTGTAAGCTAACACAGAGGTTCTGATGATTGTACCATTATGGGAATCTGTCCTTAGCTTTCTTATCCAAAACCTTTCCCGAGCAAGTCTGTCGGCCCTTGACCAACCCTCGTTGTGGTCTATGATTGTGATTGTAAGGTTTTTGAGATCAGCTTTGGCGTGCCCAGGTGATCTCAAATGACGACTTACAGGGAGGTCGGGCTCGTCCAATTATTTAACCTTAGCCCAAATTTATTATTATTTTTTCTTTTCATTATAAAACAGCTATTTATTTGGGATGATAAATACGCAGCCTCTGTTTGACATATTTTACCAGCTTATATCGATCAGTGCTGTTTTTTTTGGGAATGTATTTACACGCAGTTGTTGTAACATCTTAACTGACGTCATTTTGGAATTTTAGAGTTGTGCCAGTTCATATCTCTAATTACTATTTTCATTTTAGGCATGTCTTTGAGTCGTTTTTTTGGAAATTTTAAAAATTTATTAGCGTCTCTACATATGATGTTCGGGTGAAACTGTTTCACTTTTTTTATTGTATAGAATTCAAGATTGCTATAGTTAAATAATCAGAACAGATTGATCTGATTCATTTTACATCGTGCTCATACTGATGAAGGATATCTGTTATCCGAAATATTTAAAGTTACATTTGTTCGTTTATTGTCATTTTTTGGTGATGTTGTACCCTTTTATACATGTTAAGATACATCTTTTAGTTTTTACTTTGAAATAAAAAAAAAAAAACAGAAACCCTAGAATCGTTTTCCTAACAACCTAGACAACCGAAAAACTTTTGTTGGTAATAATACTGAATAATTTACCTTTAACTTGTTTGCCATCGGCTATCGATAACAATGATTTTAATATGCTCACTCGAGTCTATCAGAGGCCTTCCAGTGGGGATTTAAATAATGATATTTTGTTACACATTTCGATACATAAAATGAAACTTTCTTTTCACAAAACATTAAAAGATTTATTTTAAATATTTTTTTATACCATCGCAGTTTCATTTTAAAGAATAATAATGTTCAGAGCTGATATCATTAAATAATCTAAAAATACGTTTATTCATTGTAATTAGGTTGATAGGGTTAATTCACAAAATATCTTATTGATTACGAGAATAAGTACTTCTACGTTGTAATCATTTTAAAAGAGTGGCCTACTATTTATTCAATGCATACATGTAGGTTTTGTTTGTAAAGAGTTTCGGATAATTAAAGAATCATTTTATTCTTTTGTTTAATACCTTGATTTTTTTTTTACATAAATCGATTCATTCATTCAGATATTTATCAGTTTGTCTTGGCTATTCAAGTCCTACACAACGTCAAACGAATTTGGTCTTTTTCTTACAAAACTTATATTCTTGTGATGTATTCTTTTGTTGAAGAATGAATGTTGCCCCTTTTTTTATATTTTGTCGTTTTTTTGTGTCTCAATGACGTACAAGACAACCGGACTACCCCTTTCTTCATGGTTTAAAAACATACGAGATGACATCAATACCAATTCACAAATTAAAAACCAATTCTTCAGAGAACAATTAGAGGTCTTTCCACCTCGATAATAAGAATGGAATTTAAAAAACAGTGTTGGAAAATGTCACTCCTGGTTGATGGTATTTTTTACTTCAAACTGATATAAAAAAAATAAGATTTATAGGTTCTTTTTCATGGGATTAGCCTGAAATAGGCAACTTCCGGTTAAAATACGGTCATTTCCGGTTGACCTGATAAATGATGAAATGCCTACAACCAAATGCAGACGACTTAATTGTTTTATAATGAACCAGTAAGAATTTTTAGCAAAGGTCAAAATCTAGAAAGTCAAATTGACTTTTGACATTGGCCTCAATTTTAAGGTCATAGATCAGTGATCTCAAATTGAAAGAACCCAGGTCAATCACTTGTATGGTTCTGGAGTAATACTGATTTCAAATACATAAGGGGAGAAAACTCCTATAAGGGTTGACCGAAACACTTTTACTTAAATAGGTCGAAGTTGCGCCCTATCGTAAATAGTTATTTGGCAAACACATCATATCATTAACTGTTACGGTTTCTTTTGAATAAAGATAACAAGCAAAATTCAAAATTTAGAACGACCTTGACCTTTGACCTTGACCTCAATTTCCTCCAAATGGACCAAGGACTTCATATCAAAAGACTTTAGGCCTCTTCGACTTTTAATGTATGAATTTATCCAACATATCACCTTTTTTAAATTTTCAAAGGGAAATAACTCCCATAAGATGTCATTCAATCACATCAGTTTAACTTAACTAAACCATTCTTAGGAGTAGACAAACAATTTGGTGGAAACATTTTGTTGAAATCTTTTACGGTTTCAGAGAAATAAAGATAACAAGAAAAAGGGGACCATGGAGATAACTCCTACAAGAATTAGTGTTCGGTTACACAGGGGGGGTTTTGAAATCCTCATCACTGTACAAAATCATTGGGAAAAAATCCTTTCGATATGTTGTAAAACAAAAAAGCATCTCAGACTGCAGAAGAAAAAAAAAAATATCAGAAGAAAAGCAAATAAATTTTGTATTGTTTAATGCCAAATATGGTCAAGACAGACAAAAAAAAGTTGGAAGGTTACATGTCAAAATAGAGAATGGAAATGAGGAATGTTTCAAAGAGACAACAACCCGACCAAAGAGTAAACAAAACAGCCGAAGGCCACCAATGGGTCTTCAACACAGCGAGAAAATCCCGCACCCGAATGCGCACTTCAGCTGGCCCCTTAACAAAAATGTGTACTAGTTCAGTGAAAATGGACGTTATACTAAACTCCTGAAAAAATAAATGAACTAAAATTAAAAAAACATACAACTAGAAGACTAACAAAGGCCAGAGGCTCCTGACTTGGGACAGGGGCAAAAAAAGCGGCGGGGTTAAACATGTTTAGTGAGATCTCAACCCTCCCCCTATACCTCTAGCCAATGTAGATTAAACAAACACACAGCAATACACCGCTACGTATTGTGCCAAAGTCGGGCTTGGGAGGGTGCATGTTATACTGATTTAACCCACTGGATTGTGTGCCTGCACCAAGTCTGGCCAGGGAGGGATTGCATGTTAAACTGGATAAGCCCCACTAAATTTTGAGCCTAACGTCCGGCTATCAGGGTTTTGTGTTGTTCCTTGTTGATTAAACGTCTATTTTTACTATTTATGGACAGGACTCGATGGTCTTTGTTGTTGTGGTTTCTTTTAATTTTCCTACCTTTTATCTTTTTATGTATTATTGTCGTATAACAGATCTAAAGTCGTTTAATTACGAAACTATCTGCAATATATTTAATAGTCCTAAACGTGCATGACAAATTTGACACTAGACGTAAAGCAAACAAAAATCAATATACCAATGTATCTAAAGTCACAACTGATACAACTTTATATAAAAATAAGGAGACGTGGTATGCATGATTGCTAATAAGACAACTATCCACCAAAGTTCAAATGAAGTGGATGTAAGCAATTATAGGCAACCGTACGGCCTTCAACAATGAGAAAAAACCATACCGTATAGTCGGCTACAACAGTCCCCGACATGAAAAATATGAAACAATTCAATTGAGAAAACCAACGGCCAAATCTACAACAAAACAATTAACGAAAAACACATTTTCTGCTCTTTGACACATTCCCCGTTTCAACTCTCAATTTTATTATAGATATAACTGCATATAAAAATAAGAATATGTGGTGTGATAGACAATCAGACAAATCCCGAACAGTCACCAACAGACGTTAGCAATATAGGTCACCGTACGACCTTCAACAATAAGCAAAACACACACTGTATAGCATGGAAGCTTCAAATGGCCTTGTTATGACAAACACGAAAGTTGAGTGGATGCAGAACAGAGCGAGAGAAAAAAACACTGATACCGCATGGAAACTGGCAAATGGTCCGCAATATTACTTTGGTCAACTCACTAACTTGAAATTAAAGACCTGGCGAATTTAAGTCCTTATCTATGGCTGAGATGTATGTTTAAAAAAAAAGGAAAATCAAGGTTTGTTTGGGCATTTTTATAATGCAAGTCTTGGTTTTAAATTATTTGCGAGTAAGCTTAGGTAGTCAATAACAAATAATCACTCACAGAAAGACGGGCAAATCCATTAACAAAAGAAAAATGAATATACGAACTACAGTGCACAGTATATCATATACATATTTTATTTGCGATCATGAAATGTACGAAGTCGTCCATTACTTTGTAAATTGGGTCGATTAAAAAAAAAGCTGAATACGTTTCTATTGCCAGGGGTTTTTCACAAGTATAGTAGTTAGCAGAAAAGTTCACCAAACTATACATTTTACCTATTATTGTAAATGCAAATTGCACAAGGCTTGATCCAAATAGTTTTTTTACTGTCTAATACATGTAACTTGCAAGTACGAAAAAGACAGGACAGAAGTATATTTTGTCTATATGTTTTGTATTTGCACACTTTTTAAAGTTGATCATGCATTCGTTCTAAAATAAAATTTTGACCAGATAAAAGTTAAAAGATGACATAATTGGACAACCGCAATTGTTAAATCGCTTTGACGTCCGAAAAAGATAATAATCAACACGTGCATTGTAACTTTAAAAGCCAGTTAAATCCTTTTTTTTGCTGAAAGAACGTGCGATATCATAAAAATTGATTATCAAAACATAACAAAAACACAAGTAAAGAACGTTTAAGTATTTAATATAAATCAAAACACAAAGGTTATTCCTGATTAGTTTTTCGAATTATTTTATTTAGGCGTTGAGATCCTTTGGTGACCCCACAGTTTAAATGTCTATAATAAGTACGTCGTGCGCAGTGGGCGTTACAGACGAACGTGCACCTAATCTGACCCAGTTAAGGGGATATTTTAGCGCGCCAATCAATGGTCTCGTCTACACTGTTATGCACATGATTCTATCTTTGATCTATTGGTTATTGCCTTTTAATGACTATCTATGGGGACATACCAGGGGCAGACACAGCCATTTTTAAAAGGGGGGGGGTTCCAACCCAGGACAAAAGGGGGGGGGGGGGGAGATGTTCCAACCATATGTTCCCATCCAAAAGCATTTATCGAACAACAATGGGGTTTTCCAACCCCCGACCCCCCCCCCCCCCCCCCCCCTGGATCCGCCACTGCATACTATCTATGTTGAAATTGAAAAATGTAAAGCTTCCACTGCAATTTAATTATGTCCTGCTTTTGGTCAATTTTTTTGTCATCTTACCATGTAAAGAAGTACATGTATAGTAAAATACCGCTTTATACCAATAAACATATTTACACCAGCAGCTACCATCTTTTCATTCTGGAGTCAAAGGCCTTTTGAAATCACATATTTTACAATGATACTAGTGAGTGATTTACAAAACTTCGTTAATGAGCTCCGTTTTACAAACACCTGTGATACAAGTAGTCAGCCAAAATAAACTATCAATTATAGATCAATTAAAAGGTTATTCGAGTTGTAAATATGTGTTAAATTGGATAGTCTATGAAAAGGTATATACTATGAAATTAAGAGCTCGGGGCAAGCCCCTCGCTCTAAATTTCATAGTATATACCTTTTCATAGACTAACCTAGACTTAAATTAATTCCATTAGTGAACAAAAATCAGTAAATTAGCCATTTCAAACTTAAAGAAATTAGGCACACAAAGGAAACAATTGAATATAATTTGGTGAGTCCATTTCAGCGACAGATTTAGGAAGCGTTAGTTCTAGAAAAAGAATCCACGGTAAATGAATAGCCTGACGTCACGACAATGGTTTAATCACATTGATTGTCTTTTAATTTAACTTAGAGTGGTAATACAACCTTTAACTCGACACATTTATGGGCCTTTTATAGCTTACTTTGAGGTATGGGTTTTGCTCATAGCTGAAGACCGCACGATGATCTAAAGTTTTTGATTTCTCGTTTGGTTTTTCGTGGAAAGTTGTCTCATTGGCAATTTTACCACGTCTTCTTATTTTTATACAAAACACTACTATAATTTGACGACAGTTAATAATATGCACACTACATATTATTAAACAGTAAACTAGTATATAGAATAACGGGAATTACTAAGAACATTCGACAGCACAACAGACGCCACCAATCCTCGTCACCCAGCTCCTCCTACACAAAACATTCGACAGCACAACAGACGCCACCAACCATCTACTCCCAGCTCCTCCTCCTACGTAAAACAGTCGACAGCACAACAGACGCCACCAATCATCTACTCCCAGCTCCTCCTACTTAAAATATTCGACAGCACAACAGACGCCACCAATCCTCTACTCCCGGCTCCTCCTACTAAAAACACTCGACAGCACAACAGACGCCACCAATCATCTACTCCCAGCTCCTTCTACTTAAAATATTCGACAGCACAACAGACGCCACCAATCATCTACTCCCAGCTCCTCCTACTTAAAATATTCGACAGCACAACAGACGCCACCAATCCTCTACTCCCTGCTCCTCCTACTAAAAACACTCGACAGCACAACAGACGCCACCAATCATCTACTCCCAGCTCCTCCTACTAAAAACACTCGACAGCACACCAGACGCCTAAATTATCTACTCCCGTCTCCTCCTCCTACTTAAAACAGTCGACAGCACAACAGACCCCACCAATTATCTACTCCCGTCTCCACCTCCTACTTAAAACAGTCGACAGCACAACAGACCCCACCAATTATCTACTCCCGGCTCCTCCTCCTACTTAAAACAGTCGACAGCACAACAGACCCCACCAATTATCTACTCCCGTCTCCACCTCCTACTTAAAACAGTCGACAGCACAACAGACGCCACAAATTATCTACTCCCGGCTCCTCCTCCTACTTAAAACATTCGATAGCACAACAGATGCCACCAATTATCTACTCCCGGCTCCTCCTCCTACTTAAATAACACTAAAAAAACAAACGCACAAACTTAGACAAACAACACACAAAACACACGTTGTTTCATTTTTTGTCAATGTCACAAATAATAAATGAAATTAAAGATTTTATTATTTCTTATTTCAGATCAGACGATTACCTCTTTGCAGAATAGTCCCATTATGTCCAGGAAACTCTACAGGTTGGCAAAAGACTGTCCTACTTTTGAACAGATACGGTCCATGAAAAAATATTCGATTGTTGAATGTGGATTGGAATGTCTCGCAGAGAAGGACTGCTGTGGATTTCGGTATTACAAAACAAGTGGACTGTGTGGAATTGTATCTGATATCGCTACTGCTAATATTGTTACTTCTTATCATAAAAAGCAACTGTAGATGGCGCTACGATTGTTGTACATATATACTGTGAACATAGACTATTGAATATATTTAACATTTGATGTAATTTTAATACTTCATTTATTTCTATAAAAACGTTTAACGCAGTACATTTCAAAATCCTCGTCTTTATACAATTCTTTCGCGTGATTATATCAGTTATTCCAATTACTGTTTTGACGCAATGTTTTCTAATTAACAAAGGTTTTGCGTTTAATTTCTTATTCTATTACTAAAACAAAGTAAAAAAAAATTTAAAAAAATTGTGGATCTCATGAGATATCTAAGCATGCTAATGAAGATTTGTCCCAGTGTGAATCTAATAGCAATTCTGTTATGTATAACAAAAATGGTTGTTAAAAAATTGCATAATTTTCAAAAGTGTGAAGAATAAATAGTTCGATATTGGAATCATTTATCCGTCTGATCCGCATTTCTTGACCGCTAAGTTACTTTCCCCGTGTATTATCCTCAGTGGGAAAGAATTTGGAACGTATAATGTTTAAATTTTTCGAAATTCTAATAACTTTTAACTCCAGAAATAGATTACCTTAGCTGAATTTGGCAAAACCTTTCTGAATTTTGGGTCCGCAATGCTCTTCAACTTCGAACTTTGTTTTGCCTTTTTAAATTATTTGATTCGAGCGTCACTGATGAGTCTTTAATAGACGAACGCCAGTCTGTCGTACAAAATTTTAATCCTGGTATCTACGATGAGTTTATATACTAGGCACACTCTTGCACTAAATGCATGTTCGGACACAGAAATGATGAATGTACAGGTTTCCAATAAATGGATAATGTGACGAGTTTAAAATACTAGTATTCATATAACATGTTCAGGACGAGAACAATTCAATGTCATATGGCTCTTTATAGTTGCTTAAATCTAAATCATTTGGACTCGTAATAATTTACTTATTGGCAATCATAAATGTACCACATATATATCCTAATGTTTATCTTGGTTTAATAGTGTCGTTGGATTGTTGTTTCATTGACAAATATATAACCATTTTTTTTTATAACTATGTGGAAATTAATATTAAATTATATTGTGTGAATGATCAAAATAAAATCGTGTTAACAGTGCTAGGTTCTAGCTAGGGAGCCTTTCTAAATTAACATTCATTAGTAAAGCTCCAGTCAAACTCTCCGGTAGTTGTATGGGTCTGGCTCAAGGCTAACAGATGATGAAAAAGTTTGGAAGTGCTAGACTTCAAAAAGTTTTTATATCTCTGTGATTTGGAAAGCACTTTTGACTCTTCGAAGGCAGTATAAAGTATTTGATTGAGACGCGTACGGCAACTCAAAACACAGCACAAAATATAATAAAAGACATGTAGATGTAAACACACGCTCTAAAGAGTTTGGGATCCAAATGCATGACTCATGTATGAACGTTTTGTATGTATGCCGCAACGTTAAGGCATGTCTAACGGCCAAAAATAGCACGACACTAGATAGACAACTGTAACAGATAATGTAAAGTAGCATGTTTTTAATGAGATTGATTGATCGTTGTTTTCTAAGCGTTGTAACTTGACAACAAAGATATCGAGAAAGCAAGCTTGGATAGTGCTTGTTCTGTTGTTGTAGACATAATGCTTTTTACACCCCAACATCGACCGCTGTATTACTAAGTATATTTCGGTATGCAATATACCAAAAGTAAGATTGTAAACAGAATTTCACTGTCGAAAATGAAACAAAAGAAATAATTTTGGTTGATCTTCAAACTGTAAAATAACAAATCAAATATATTTATAATAAAATTAAACATGTTAAATACAAGATACAACGGTTTTAATTTACGGTGTCGTGTGACAAAGAACAACTTATGTTACTAATTGTTTTTCCTTCATTTGTTGGGGTGTTCTATAAAAAGTCTTTTTTATTAACATCAGATTTGTGAAATTGTTAATTGTAATGCTTATGATTTATTTAAGGAGTTAATCATTAATAATTATCATCAAACAGCATGCTCTAGTTTTGTTCTGAGTCATCTTGTAAACTGGTGAAACGTCAAGCTATTCGAAATTAAAAGTAAAAAGTTTAATCGACTTCAATTTCCTGTACGTTACTGTAGTCTCCAATAGTATGTGTCGCTAATTAAACAAAAATGTCACTGCGTCATACGATCCACAATCTATAACCTACTTTGTGTCACAATAGGTCTTTCATAGAGAGCTTTGCCTTTATGGCTATAGGTTCCTTCTGGTAATTTTGACGTACCTATGTTTATCATAGCATGGTCAATAAGGTCTATATCCTCATTACATCGAACATCAATCGTAAACACATCAGTAACATGTTCCAAAACAATCCGTAAATGCAGTTTCATATGTTCTAATACAGTGCTTCCGATTTTACCATATATATCAAGCTTACAAAAAGTTTCACCGTTCAGTAAACGAAAGTAACTGCAAAAAGTTAAAAGTGTTTTATCGTAAACTTCTGGGTATGATATAACAGCGCTCGTTCTTTCCATCAGTATCAATGGTACGTTTTCCTGATAAATGTGGTACAATACTGAATCAACTGCAAGTCGGCCATCTTTGAATACATTTGGATATTTTTCCTTCGCTGCAATAACTTTTCGGAAATTTTTTTCGTCTAATAGTGTTGTAGAGGAACAGTCGTTTTGAGACGTTTGAATACTTTTCTGCACAGCAGTTTTTGAACCAGCATAAAATGTACATTTCTAAAATAAAAAAGATATGTATACATTGAAACCTTCGAAGGCAATCAATATAAAATTCAGGCACAACACTATACATAAATGAAACTGCATGTTTTATGTGCTTCATAAACCCTAAAAATTAACATACTAATGAATCATCGACAATCAGTTCTAGTTCAAAACATGACGGTAAATAAATCGTTGAAAGAACTCAATGAGTGTTTTTATGTGACGTGGTCGCCTCGAATGCAGGAGATAGTCATCCATAACCTAGCGTCTTGATCTAAATTAAGCCTTTAAAATTGGTAAGTGCCTCTTCTCAATCTAGCACATGACATTTTGGAGCGGAACTAAACGCTGGTTGAAAAGTTGTCCGGGTAGGAAGACTTGACTGTCTGGAGAATGTTACTTTGCGAGATACAACGTTGAAATCTGATTTATTTGGTTAGTATAGTACAACAAACGGTATATATTTCTCTCATAAACATATCATAGTCCTAAATATTAATGCAATATTTGCCGCTGGACGATAGGCAGTCATTAATCAATGAATGCCTCACACAATCAATCAAATAGGTCAAATAGTTTTGTCTGTGTAACACAATTTCTAATCCTTGTTTCCGTAATCAGATGCTGTTTTATGAGTAGGGGAGATAACCTCCAACCTGGTGGACCAGAGATATTTGTTTATGGTTTTCCTTCCAATAGATAGATGCCTTTCAAGACTAACGAGTCTGATCTACCTGATGATTTTGATTTCAGAGCTTTCTTCTCTAAAGAAAATTGCCTTTTCCTGGTTGCGACACTCTCCTTGCCATATGTGCCTCTGCGCATAACAAGGACTAGCCTACGGTAGGTGGGTAACATGATTTATTTTAGGGAGAGTTGTGCGCTCGCAAACATGTTTAAGGATCATACTTAGGTCAGGTTTAGGAATTTTTGTCAGATGTTCGGACTCCTTGTTTTTTTTCCTATGATACAGGGAAAAATATTTTTCCCCATAGCACCCATTTTTCTTTTCATATAAGACTTCAATAGCTCATAAAAGGTCATTTACCAAAATTTAAGATTTCCTTTCTTTCGATTTGAGACCCAAATAATACCAATGCAAATATAAGGTAAAAGTCTGAGTCAGCCTTTTCCCGCCATTTTAAAAAAAATTAAATATCTCGAAAAGGAGCTCCATAACCTATCAATATTTTTAGCTTATTTTGTTTCTTAACTAATGCTCTTTTGGGCTGATATGCATAAAACCACTTAAGTGAAGATTTCCAATCGTAGTACTAATTTATCGTAGGACATGTAGAAAAATCCGTCCGTTCGGAACAAATGTTAACTTAAGTAGCTTTATGCATACGGGCCCTGACTTATAGTATCAATTTTAAATTCTATATTTTTTTTAATTTCACCTAAGTACATCCTTAACACCGACACAATGTATGTGCATGTCCCAAGGCAATAGCCTGTTATTCAGTGGTTGTCGTTTGTTGTTGAATATCATATTTTTTTCCGTTTATTGTTTTGTACATAAAGCAAGCCTTTGGTTTTCTCCTTTGAATTATGTTACATTTTTTCATGTCAGGACTTTTATAGCTTACTTTACGATATGTGTTTACTCTTTGTTAAAGGGTTAATGGTGACCTATTATAATAGTTGCTTACATCTACGTCATGTTTTCTGTGTTGGATAGTTGTCTCATTTGCAATCACACCAAATCTACTTATTTGTATATAAAACATTAAAGCTTTACACATGGCACCAAACCTTAAGCATGTCGAATATGGAAGGCTGGCCAAGTGTATATTATAGAGCGGGTGGAAAAACTATTAGAGTTAATCCTACTATCGCGCTTGACACATTATGTCAATGTGTTGTTACAGCATTTAGTTAAATAAAACAGTGTACTTATTATCTCGGTAACGGAAAGAACTAATTGCCATTTCTAGAATTTCAAATTGCAATGAGTTATAAAAAAAATATAAATATGTAGTATTAGAACATTATTGCCATTTAAACAGATGGTTTACTAATAAGGCCATGTAAAATAGATGCTATATTAAAGAGGCCAGTTTTAAACTTTAATCAGTAATAAAGGGGCAAAGAAACCATAATTTCGCCGAAAAATTAAGCAAAACATTTGACCCCCCTAAACATATTTTTTTTTGGTTTTATAGTCATCTTATTTCAATATTACAAATGATTATAAGGGCAGGGTTTTATACAGTAAAACATTATTTTTTCTTGGCCTTATACATTACATACACGTGCTGTGATAAAGGTATACCCTCCTCGTTCCAGTCTTTGGTAAACATCTTTGAACTGCATTCCTGTTTCAAAAACTATACGTTTAAGGCCTCTTGTTCTCTTTTTGAGATCCTCCAGAGTGAAGTCGGTAAATTGGTCATGAAGATTTAAACCTCTAAAATCTCTTCTCACTCGCCCTGACCGATAAGATGCAGTTTCTCCATTGTCTATTATGACAATTTGAACAAATGCTATCTACAATAGTAAATGTAAATTATTTTCAGCGCCCTTGCTTTCAACATTTTTTTTTCATTTTTGTACACAACTGTTTCATGACTTTTGAGTTAGCGCTTACCAGGCCAGGATATTCATTTTCAAAATCTTCCGCCCCACCTCCTCCCCCTCCAGAAAATCAAATGGTAGTCCCATAAGTATAGTATTCATGGCAGTATACGATACAGATTTTGCATTAAACGAGACTAGACATGTAAGAGGACAGCAACACAATAATACATGACACAAATATATGTAAGCTTAAATTAGAAAATCCGTCGTCATTTTCAGGTAATACATGTATAACTCGTATGAGTACAAAGATTAATTTTTAGACTCTTTAATCACCCTTGAAAAGTATCTACCAAAGCGAAATGCGATTTGATTGTTTAAGAATTTTTTAGGGTAAATATAAACTGATAGCAAATCAACCTACACGATGGCATTAAATTGTAATTGTATTTTCCTGATGAAATTTCGAGAGAACAATGTATATCCTGCATGAACTGTACATTTATCACCTTTCTATAAAAGGCCAATTTTCAATCAACTCAATTTATTGTAGTGACACATGCCATTCTGGAATATACCTACTACTAAAATGGTTTTCTGAAAATCTCAATAAGCATATACTATGTACATGTACCATTGTATTATAAATTCAGGCACAAATAAATTTGGGCTCAGAATTGTTAAACTATATTTTTTCATTCAGCAAAAGTTTTATTCGTGTATCATCATTTGTTAGTTTAAGTAAAGGATAGGGCCTCTTTTACATATATTCTAAATGTGAGTGGGTAAATTGGTGGTTTGACACCTCCTGAGTTACCTACTTCGCAGAATCTACCTAATTGATTAATTGCTGAATGTGTACCCATCCTGAATATGCATGAAATATTTGCCAGTGGTGGTCAACTTAATTATTTCAACTCACTATTTTATCATCGACTAAACAGACGTATGGATAACAAAGTGGACTCTTTATAAGTATATGAAAATAATCAGACAAGTAGTCTCCTTGGTATTCCCCGTCTTGTAGAATAGATATGACGTCATCATAGTCATCAGCTGATGCTCGTCTCACCCACCAATTTACTCCTGACATATCTTGCTACTACAACTGAAAAGAAGATGAAAGTAAATGGAAATGCGGAAAATATGTAAATGAGACAGCAACCCAACGACACAATCATGCTTAACTAGTAAGACAACTGTATGTCAATATACATGTACAGTATTGAATAATTAACAAGTGACTATAAACATGATAGAATTTAGTCTGGGAGAACATGAATTATTTATTAGTTATAATACACCTTATCGCTATTTGTCCGCCATTACTGCACATCACAAAGGTCTCGTAAAATTTTATAATAGGAAATGTCTGACGCCATAAAGGAAAAGTGATTGTTGTATGACGTCAAAAGTTCAAGTGGCGCACATTCTCGGGTCAAGTGGCGCAGATTTCCAAATAGCGATAAGGTCTATTGGCTCTGAACTAGCTTTCAGTAACTGCGAGTACTCTATTTTCGGTGCTTTGTTTCTGTTGTTTGTATGTTAGTTTTTTTTTTTTTTGCCTCGTACCGATCTTTTGAGTTAAGCCAATTGCTACTGATTTTTACAGTTTGTTCTTTTGTTGTGCTGTTACACAACTGTCCCAGGTTAGGAGAAGGGCTGCATGAACACTCACAAACATTCTTAACCCCGCCACGTACCTATGTGTATGCCCAAAGTCAGGAGCCTGTAGTTCAGTGGTTGTCGTTGATTCATTTCTGTCATATTTGTTTTTCGTTAATTGTTTTGTTGTAAATTAGGCCGTTGGTTTTCTCGGTTAAACTGTTGCATATTTGTTCATCATTGAATGTATTTTTCTTATTGTTGAAGGTTGTACGATTGCCTATAATTGCTTACATTCACTTCATTTGAACTCTGGTGGATAGTTGTCTCATTGACAATTAAAGCCCATCTCCGTATTTTTATATACGTATATACTCCATCGTGTACAAAATCGCCCCTAGTTGAAACAAATTGTAAATAAATCAAACAAAGACAGTTGACATGATCAATGGTCTCCAATTCTAAACAGTGCTGAAATATTTCTGGATAAAAAAGACCACACCTCAGTCATGCCAATGGTCATGATAGTTACTTAGTTGAATATAATCATCTTTTTATTAATTACGTCCCTTGTATATATAATCCGTAAATTCTTTTCTTGCCCGAATCAAATAAAGAATATTAATTTCTTAAATTTTCATTATCATACAAACAGTTGGAAAATTATGTCCTATCCTTAACCTAGATACTACAGATATCCTGATCTCACCGTTTTGATTTTTTTGTTTTTCTTGACTGTTTCGAATTAAGGTTGTACCAAACACCGTGACTAACATTAATTTGGCTCGTTTAATTTTCATAAAATTTTGACATAATATTTACTTTGACCCTTTGACAAAAGTATAAAAATTTCAAAAAACTTGAACCACACACTTGATCGGAAAAATTTCATTGGATATATAGCAGTTTGACAAACGCTAATTTTGCTCATTGAGAAGCTTAATATCTCCTCAACAATAGAACGTGATTAAAACGTTCAGTTGATTTTTACAGAGTTATCTCCCTGTAGTGTTATGTACCAATTTAAATAATATATCTCCCTCATGCAAAGGTCTGATTCTTTGCCCAGGTTTGTCTATACTTTCTGACCTTTTTGGTTTTACCAGATCTTCAATTTCTGAATAAGTTTTGGATTTTCAAAAATTTTCGCCTCGAATATACGTATCACTGAAGAGACATTAATTGTCGAAATGCGCATCTGGTGCGTAAAATTGGTATCGTTAATGTTATTACTATCACTGGGTTGATATCTCTGCTATTGGACTGTTAGTCCCCTAGGGTATCACCAACCCCGTATAGCCAGTACTTCGGTACTTGCATAAAAATACGAATATTGTGTTATTGAAATTTGCTGTAAAGAAATTTCTGAATTTATTCTAAATTACTGAATTATATATTTCCATCATCATCATTCAAAGCTCTGATTTCTTGCCCGACTCTGGCTATACTTATACCTTTTGGTTTTATCAGCTCTTTAATTTCTGAACAAGTTTTGGATTTTCAAATATTTTGGCCTCGAGCATCGCTGATGAGACATTAATTGTCAAAATGCGAGTCTGGTGAGGTAAGATTTGTATCGTTAATGTTGTTATGATATTTCTAACTAGACTGCCATGATATTTTGGTCTTGACTGGAACAGTTCCAGCAAACAATGCTTTAATTATTTAATATATGACGTTAGTATACGCTTATAGAATCGACCTAAATGCTAATATAGTAAGAATCGAATTTTAGAGCTTTTTTATTTATTTAAATCGTTACATGATCTCACATGCCGCCAGTGACAAGTAGTTGAAGTACAAACCACAATTTTACATTTAACACACATTTGTATGACGCCTTTAAGTACCACAGTGTTTGAGGTACAAGTTCTTGCACTCGAAGTTAATACCTGTATAGCACCTAGACAACTACTGATATTATTATACTTCACGTCAAAATGCCAGATTTTGATTGGTTAATACGAGATAGACAATTTACTCTATCCCATGGCAAATACTATATTACCCTTCACAGAGACGCTTGCTCAAGTTTGCGCTTTAATAAATACGGATGATTGTTATGTACAAGACGACATAGTTTATTACTTTGAATTTGAAATTTAATAGACAGTAATAACAGAACATTCAGTATAATGAATTAAATAACACATATCTGAGAGGGTGATAGAGCAGATTGTTACCCATCGAAAAGACATTGTCAACCTTGGCTTCGCCTCAGTTGACAATGTTTTCTCGGGGTAACAATCTGCTCTATCACCCTCTCAGCTATGTGTTATTTATATAATATTCCTCACTGCAGGTAAAAATTTTAACATCATTCATTTATGATCGATTAAACTAATTTTCTTGTAATTCAATCCCGTTTCAATTAATATCTCGATCGTTTTTCCCTCTCTCGGTCATACATGAATTAAGCCCAATTTGGCACATCTTTTTGGCATTTTTTGCTTTCAATTCTCTCCAACTTCCTAACTCGTTTACTGTTCTTTTTCCTCATTCTCTGTCTTTTGATTTGAGCGCCTCTATTCATAAGTCGTAGTCATAAAGACGAAACTAGACGCGTTGATCAGGGACGGATTCAGGATTTTTGAAAGGGGCGGGGGCGTATTTACCGAACTGTTTTTGACAATTTTATGCTAAAAGATGATTATATTTAAAATTTCCAATCAAAGAGGTCTAAGTATGTCTACACCCCACCTGAATCCGCCACTGTTTTAATATGACCTTTTAAATACAAACTATGTCAACTTGCATCAATAATATTCGTGCTACAATTTTTATTTGAAGAAGTGTATGCAGTGAATATAATATAGCAATAATTCCAACCTTCAACTACATATAATTATGTGATGTTACATGGTAAAAGGGCCTTTATCTATAGTTCATGGTGTCGGGAGAAAAGAACTTTTAAAGAATTGAATCAAACATTACATAGGCCTACTCGCTATTTCGTTGAAATATCGATCTATGTGAATAGCTAATGCAAGTTTTTTGGGTAGATACAATGTGTTATTGCAAGCCTGGTATTTAATAAAAGTGATAAATCGTCGTGTGAATCTTAAAGTGTTATATGTCCACTTTTGATAAAAATGGAGACAGCTATATATTTGAGATCCAAGTGCAATGGTCTATGATCTCCCTATACAACTATAAAACGAGATTTCTTCACTCTTCGAGTTTTTGTCAGAGCTACACTGTTCTATTTCCACACTCCCATTGGATTATAATGGCTTATTCATCTATTTAGTTAAGAGAAAAATATTTTTATATTGTTGTATCTCCACTATTTCTCATGTATTTTTGTTGTTAAACGTGTTAAATAATTGTTATCAAAATTATCTTAATAGTACTATGATTAAATGGTTTGCATGGTTTGATCTCAATCTATGAGCAATTCTCATCAAATCCAGCAGTGCAGAATTGGGGATATTACGAAGTTAAAAAAATCCATGGTCTATCTCCAATTGAAATATAGGGATAAGTTTTTTTGAAACTACATTATTTGTAGTGAAATGATCTTTCTCTTAAAAAGGGGATGCTTTATTTATCTAAAAGAGGGACGAAAGATACCAGAGGGACAGTCAAACTCATAGATCGAAAACAAACTGACAACGCCATGGCCAAAAATAGAAAGACAAACAGACAAATAATAGTACAGATGGCACAACATAGAAAACTAAAGACTAAGCAACACGAACCCCACCAAAAACTGGGGGTGATCTCAGGTGCTCCGGAAGGGTAAGCAGATCCTGCTCCACATGTTGCACCCGTCGTGTTGCTTATGTTATTACAAATCCGGTAAATAGTCTAATTCGGTAAGTCACATTCGTGAAAAGGGAAGGGTATTGTAGTTACGACATAAGGAACATATCCGATATCATCTGTGAAACGGTTATTCCATAACGGTCAACCAACTCGTGATGGCGTCCGTAAAATTTATATTGTCTGAAAACTAGAAAAATGTTTGTTTTAGACCCGTTTTGGCCCCTAATTCCTGAACGGTTTGGGCAATAACCCCAAAAACGAATCCCAACCGTCTACTTGTGGTATTGAACCTTGTGGTACAATTTCAGAGCAATCAAAATACTTGTACACAAGTTATTGTCCTGAAACTAGAAAAAAATGCTTGTTTTGGCCCCTTTTTGGCCCCTAATTCCTAAACGTTTGGGACCATCACCCTCAAAAACAATCCCAACCTTCCTTTTGTGGTATTGAACCTTTTGGATAAATTTCATAGAGATCCATACACTTTAACTAAAGTTATTGTCCGGAAACCAAATGTCTTCGGACGACGCTCACGCTGACGCCGACGACGACGACGTGATACCAATATACAACCGCAAAAAATTAACCGCAAAAAATTTTTGCGGTCGTATGAAAATTTGATATTTCGGATTGAGAAAGATCGGGTACCACTTTTTGATGATTATGAAAAGGATCGTGAAAGATCTGTTGCCGCTCATTCGTTATTGAAAAATTTCACGAAAACGATCAAATCAT